GAGATGTCCTTGAGAGAGAGAGAGAGAGAGTGTGTGTGTGTGTGTGTGTGTGTGCATCGCTGAACATTTCCCGGTAAGGTCATTATTGTGATGGCTTTATTCCTCCACTGAATCAAGGCCAAGCGCCCCATCACCACACCAGACGACAAGCGGTATTCCATCTGGCAGCTCACAAGACTTACTATAAATCCTTACCAACTGTTTATCGGTAAAGTATAGGACCTGAAGCACTTTTGCCATAACGTTCTGATGGAAGTTTGTTCACGAGAAGACTTAATTAAGGTAAGGATGATGCCTAAACCTCAATGATGTGTGATGATGGGACGTATAGTCTGCCATCTATAATATTACCTCGTGAGACTGACTGCCTATGGAGGGCTGAGTCATCTATATAGAAATGAACTGCGTTGTTTTGGTCACTTATGGATCACTTATGTGTATTAAAAAAAGATAATGTGATAAGTATAGAGTTTGGGGAACGACGGTGTGCTTAATGGTGGTAGATGAATGACAGGTAAGAAGATGTATATAGTCATTTTGTGATCGATACAAAGAATTAAGAGGACTAATGACGAAAGACCATGAGAGAGCCATTTTGGAAACGAAACCAAAGCCAAGAAAAAAGATATGAAATAGATATCCCAAAGAAATCTCCCAATCTGTCCCAGTCTATACATGATCGTAACGTCACTTGTGCACTTTTGCCAATTTTCCTTGGACGCGCCTCGGGGAAAAAAAAAGTTGGTAGCGGAGATGAACCAATGATCAGTAAAGGTAAAAGAGAAAGAAGAAAAAGTTTTTGAGAGTAAGACTTAGGATTATAAGTTAAAAGAGGGCCAGCAGGTGGCCACTGTTTATCCAGCAATATCAGGGATCCGTGTGAGAGTGTTGACCGGTTGTGTAGGATTAAGTGAGGCGACAAAGTGCTCCTTCCTTCCCCTCCACACCAACTTGGTCAGTGAGAAGAGATACGTCGGCCATTCTGTGTTGTAGATGTTGATACCACCCAAGTGTAAGACGTATGGCTGTGAGATCAAGTGTCTAGAGCGCGACAGACAGACAGACAGACACAACAGAGACAAGTCAAGATGAGGAGAGATATAGCTTGCAGATCTCACGTTGAAAGCAAAGCAACCTCAGACTTCGCATAGCAGCCGTGAACCACCACCACCACTTGTGAGATATTGAAAGAGATTCTCCCGGGACAGCTGAAGCGAGATGCCTGCGGGAGGAGGAGGGAGGGAGGGAGGAGACTCTCTTAAGTTTATATAAGGAACATTGAATCAGGTTTAGTTTGAGGAGAGGATGGTGATTGGTGCTCCTGCCGCGTGATGGATGTTGGAAATTATTGTTATGGAGACGAATGTTTAGTGTGTTTGATGGATGGTAGGGAGACGAGGAGGAGGGGGAGGTGGTGAGGGAAGGGGGTGAATCAAGGAGGGAGGGAGGGGGAGATAATACTGTTGAACTATTTAGATTACTACAACGGCTCTTACTACTTAGTCTATGTAACACACCATCACCCCCTCACCACCACCACCCTCATCACCACTGCCACTACACCCTCCCCTCATCACCACCACAGGGACACAGAGGCATCAACAAACAATACAATGTTTCTGTTTCCTCTCCGCCACTGAAGATTATGACTGCCTGGCACATAGTGGTGTATGTAGGTATAGCTGGGAAGAGAATACCCCCTCTTCCTCCCCCTCTTCTTCCTCCTCCCTCCCCTCTTCTTCCTCCTCCCTCCCCTCTTCTTCCTCCTCCCCTCCCCCTCTTCTTCCCTCCTCCCTCCCCTCTTCTTCTCTCCCCCCCTCCTCTTCTTCCTCCACGATTCTCCAATAATAGATTACCAATATTTTCCTTGGCATGATACAGGATGGTGCCAATGTTGGGGCATCACCACGAACCGGGTGGCTAAATTATTATTTGTCTTTTCCTTACTAAAACCTAACCTACCCTAACCTAACCAAACCTAACCTAACCTAACCTAACCAAACCCTTCTCCATCTCATCCCCATACTCCTCCCTTCCGTTTTCCCTCTTACTTCCCCACTTCTTCCTCCTTCTCCTCCTCTTCCTGCCCCCACTTCTTCCTCCTCTTCCTGCCCTCACTTCTTCCCTTCTCCTCCTCTTCCTGCCCCCACTTCTTCCTCCTCTTCCTGCCCCACTTCTTTCTCCTTCTCCTCCTCTTCCCTGCCCCACTTCTTCTCCTCTTCCGCCCCCCCTTCTTCCTCCTCTTCCTGCCCTCCTTCTTTCTCCTTCTCCTCCTCTTCCTGCCCCCACTTTCCTCCTCTTCCTGCCCCCACTTCTTCCTCCCCTCTTCCTGCCCCACTTCTTCCTCCTTCTCCTCTCTTCCTGCCCTCACTTCTTCTCCTTCTCCTCCTCTTCCCCACTTCTTCCTCCTTCTCCTCCTCTTCCTGCCCCCACTTCTTCCTCCTCTTCCTGCCCTCACTTCTCCTCTTTTTCTCCTCCTCCTGCCCCCACTTCTTCCTCCTCTTCCTGCCCCCTTCTTTCTCCTCTCCTCCTCTTCCTGCCCCTTCTTCCTCCTTCTCCTCCTCTTTCTACTTCTTCCTCCTCTTCCTGCCCACTTCTTTCTCCTTCTCCTCCTCTTCCTGCCCCCACTTCTTCCTCCTCTTCCTGCCCCACTTCTTCCTCCCTCTTCCTGCCCTCACTTCTTTCTCCTTCTCCTCTCTTCCTACCCCACTTCTTCCTCCTCTTCCTGCCCCACTTCTTCCTCCTTCTCCTCTTCCCTGCCCCTCCTCCCTTCTCCTCCTCTTCCTGCCTCACTTCTCCTCCTTCTCCTCCTCTCTTCCCTTTTTCCTCTTTCTCCTCCTCTTCCCCACTTCTTCCTCCTTCTCCTCCTCTTCCTGCCCCACTTCTTCCTCTCCTGCCTTCTTCCTCCTCTTCTGCCCTACTTCTTCCTCCTTCTCCTCCTCTTCCCCCCTTCTTCCTCCTTCTCCTCCTCTTCCTGCCCACTTCTTCTTCCTTCTTCTCCTCCTCCTCCCCCTTCTTCCTCCTCCTCTTCGCTCCAGGCTGTCGTGAACTCCACACAACTGCCTCCAAGTTTTTGTTGTTGTTGAATTTACATAATGTTTTTTCTGGTTGTGTCTTTCATTGTACTAATACTTTATCTCTCACTGTATCTCTCTCTCTCTCTCTCTCTCTCTCTCTCTCTCTCTCTCTCACTGTATCTTTTTAACTCTTGCTCTCTCTCTCTCTCCTGTATCTCCCTCCCTTTATCTCTCACTGTCTCTGTCTCTCTCTCACTGTATCTGTCTCTGTATCTCTCACTTTATCTCTCACCTTATCTCTCTCTCTCTCTATCTCTCACCGTATCTCTCTCTCACCTTATCTCTCTCTCTATCTCTCACCGTATCTCTCTCTGTCTACTCTCACCGTATCTCTCTCTCTCTATCTCTCACCGTATCTCTCTCTCTCTATCTCTCACCGTATCTCTCTCTCTCTATCTCTCACCGTATCTCTCTCTGTCTATCTCTCACCGTATATCTCTCTTTCCTTTTATCTCTCTCTCTCTCTCTTCTCTCACACCTTTAGAATTTCAAGAGTTTCTCCGTAGTCAGCCATTCTGCCAGCCTCCTGACACTTCTCTCACCACAAATCAACCACCTTCTTGACTTCTCTTCCAATCGTCAGTTGACCTCCAAGTACCCTCCTGCCCCACAGTCAAGCCTCCAACACCACCCTCCCACACCCACCATCAGCCAGCCTCCAACACCCACCACTCTCCTCCTGTCAGCCAGCCTCCAACACCCCACCCCACTCTGCTCAGTCCAGCCTCCAACACCCCTCACATTCCCCACTGTCAGCCCAGCCTCCAACACCCACCACTCTCCACTCTAATGTTGAGCCAGCCTCCAACACCCACCACCCCTCACACTCCCCACTGTCAGCCAGCCTCCACACCCCCCACTCTCCCCCAATGTCAGCCAGCCTCCACACCCCTCCCACTCCCCACTGTCAGCCAGCCTCCAACACCCCCACTCTCACCCCAATGTCAGCCAGCCTCCAACACCCTCACACTCTCCCCACTGTCAGCCACCTCCAGCCCCCTCTCACTCTAATGTCAGCCAGCCTCAACCCTCTCCCACTCCCCACTGTCAGCCAGCCTCCAACACCCCACCCCTCACTCCAATGTCAGCCAGCCTCCAACACCCCTCCACACTCCCCACTGTCAGCCAGCCTCCAACACCCACCACCCCTCACTCCAATGTCAACCAGCCTCCTAATACCCCTCACCCTCCCCAATTTCAGCTAACTTTCTAACGTCCCTCTCTCCCTTCACTGTCAGCACCCTCTTAACCTCCCTCTCCCTGTCAGCCAGCCTCCTAACACCCCTCTCACTGTCAGCCAGCCTCCTAACACCCCTCTCCCCACTGTCAGCCAGCCTCCTAAACACCCCTCCCCACTGTCAGCCAGCCTCCCTAACACCCCTCTCCCCACTATCAGCCAGCCTCCTAACACCCCTCTCCCCCTGTCAACCAGCCTCCTAACACCCCTCTCCCCACTGTCAGCCAGCCCCTAACACCCCTCTCCCCACTGTCAGCCAGCCTCCCTAACACCCCTCTCCCCACTGTCAGCCAGCCTCCCTAACACCCCTCTCCCCCACTGTCAGCCAGCCTCCTAACACCCCTCTCCCCACTGTCAGCCAGCCTCCTAACACCCTCTCCCCACTGTCAACCAGCCTCCTAACACCCCTCTCCCCACTGTCAGCCAGCCTCCTAACACCCCTCTCCCCACTGTCAGCCAGCCTCCTAACACCCCTCTCCCCACTGTCAGCCAGCCTCCTAACACCCCTCTCCCCCACTGTCAACCAGCCTCCCTAACACCCTCTCCCCACTGTCAGCCAGCCTCCTAACACCCCTCTCCCTGTCAGCCAGCCTCCTAACACCCCTCTCCCCACTGTCAGCCAGCCTCCTAACACCCCCTCTCCCCACACTGTCAGCCAGCCTCCTGACGCCTCTCTCTCCCCACAGATCTACCAGACGGGGTGCCAGTGATCAAGGGCGTGAAAAGTCACTACCTGGTGGGGGACTGGGTCGACCTCACCTGTACTTCCCTCAGATCCAAGCCAGCGGCCGCCTCGCCTTCGCTATCAACACCCAACCCGTGAGTCTACTGAGAGAGATATATATATATATATATATATATATATATATATATATATATATATATATATATATTATATATATATATATATATATATATCCCAGGCCGTGTGTCTCTATCTTAGACTCCCCATGCAGTATGTGGTCTGTGTCCTCCAGTGAGTTAGATCAGTAGCAGGAGGTACGTACACACACACACACACACACACCAACACCATAAAATTATGGATTGGAGATGTAAGCACTATTGACATAAAACTACGATTACTACTACTACTACTACTTTTTATCTTGTGGCCTCCAGCCTCCCCAATAGCCACACCTTCGCCGCCATTTATTTACCTTTATTAAATATCCTAATACATAGAAGCTATCCTATCTGTGTTAAATTAGTTGAGCTGCAGATCTGTCCGGCATTCAGTTACTTAGCCTCATAGTCAATATCTGCAGCAGTTGTCGGAGTAGGGGCAAACTTCGTTCCCTGAGGCCAAAGCAAGACAGAAGGAGAGAGAAGGACAGTCGACATCTCATCAGGCTGTAACATAACTTCTGGGCTGCTGCTTCTGTTCGGAGATCAGCTCCACGAGTCTGGCGTGAAAACATCTTGCACTTGGGCCCATCCACCAGGGTTGTGAACACTAGGCGGATGAAGCTGCCTTGATCGACACTTTGTTCTCTCCCCATATGCCCTTCTCTTGTCGTTCTCGTTCCTCCTATGTGCAGCATCGAGAGCTGGGATTCAGATGACAAGGCCATGGGATAAAAATCCTGATGTCGAAGGCTCGCTGTCCCCGTCCAGTCCCCGAGCACTGACGTCCACAACGGGCTTCGTTAGATGTGTTTGAAGTCCTGTGTTGGAAGATCTCGCCATCCAGTGGAAGGAGGGTCGGTTCTACCATGACGTCCGGCGTTCCTTCAACATATTTGCTGTGAGATCCCTTACCTCGTCATGCCTCATGCATGAAGCCCCCTTCTTGCAGACCATGGCGTGATCGCCATCATAGGAGGGCCACACAGCGCGTGGAGGGCAAACCATCTACTGGCCAACCGTACCTTAGAGCAATGGCATCTGTGAATTCTTGTTTGTTAAGGCTGAAAACCCTTATCGGTAACGTAGTTAACCAGTTCGAGGCGCCCACCTCCTGCTATAGCACTTTGTCAAATTTTTCTGGAACATGCAGCAATAGTTGCCATGTCATTTGGCAGTGCTGCCGATCTGTTGTAATGGACCTACGGATCTTATTAACTTCGCTGGTGTCCACTTCCCCTGTTGCATTCTGGGCTATTATGTGGTCAGTGAGGGCTACTACTACTACTACCACCACTACTTCTACCACTAGGACCACGCCTCCCCCAATAGCCACACCTTCTCTGCCATTTTAATACCTTAAAATAAAATATCCTAATACGTAGCTAAGTAGCTATCCTAGCTGTGTTGAGTTAGTTGAGCAGCAGATCTATGCGGCATTCAGTGACAGTAGCCTCGTAGTCAATATCTGCAACTGTTGTCGGCTTTGGGGCCGATGCTCTCGTTCCCCTGAGGCAGAGCAAAGCAGACCTGAGGAGAAGGACAGTGAGCATCTCATCAGGCTGTAACATAACCTGGAGCTGCTGCTTCTGTTCGGATATCACCTCCGAGGAGTCTGGCGTAGAAGCATCTTGCGCGGTCCCATCCACCAGGGTTGTGAACACCAGAGGTGAAGCTGCCTTCAGTCAACTTTTGAATTCTCTCCCCCCATATGCTCTTATCTTGTCGTTCTCGTTCCTCCTGTATTGCAGCATCGAGCTATAAGTTAAGGTGAAATGCGGCCATGGGATAAAAATCCTGATATCGAGGCTTCGTTGCCTCTGCGTCCAGAATCCCCGAGCACTGACATCAACCACAGACCGTTGGATGTGTTTGAAGTCCTATGTTGAAATTTTCACCATCAATGGAAGGAGGGTCCAGTTATACCCTGACATCATGACATATTTCCTTCAACATACTTGCTGTGAAGTCCCTTACTTAGTCATGCCTCATGCATATGAAGCCCCTTTCTTGCACACCATGGCGTGATCACCGTCATGGAGAAGAACCACACACGCATTGGGAGGCAAACCTTCTACTGGCGACCGTACCTTAGAACAATGGCATCTGTAAATTCTTGTTGTGGGCCGAAACCATTTGCCCTTATCGGTAACGTAATTAACCAGTTTGAGCGCCCACCTCCTGCGCTATAGCTACTTTTTTTCCAAATTCTTTGGTACTTGCAGCATCAGTTGCTGCAACTTATCACCCAGCTGTGCTGTCGTTCTGTCGTTATGGACCGTCGAATCTTGTTTAGCCGGTGATATCCCCCCACGCCTGTTGCGTTCTGAGTTATCGTGTGGTTGGTGAGGCTGCCGTGGAAAGCAACGGGTTTTGATATTCAGTGGCAGCAATCTCCTCTGGATTAGTAGTTCCATTCCTCCCAGTCTCGGTGGTAGTGCAAGGTGATCTTTCTGCGGGGTTAAGTGAAGGTGTTTCACTAATTTGGAATAGAGTGTGCCCGATAACTATTTCAGAAGGTGGGGAGGACCGATATCAGGAATGTCGCATCGGTGGCTTCAGCGATGCTTGACTCCATGGTGAATGCCGCAAAGCCACATGTGACTCTGTTAGCAATATCAGACAGAGCTTGATTCCCCAGCCCACTCATTACTTTCCCGATTACGTATTCGATCTTGAAGTCCGTTTGTGCCGATTATAGCTAGGTGTCTTTTGGCCATCCATTGTTTGACCTCACTTCACCAAACACCTCATTGCCCGTTCATAATGTTCTGGCTTCACAATGAGGAAGGACTTGCTGGCATTTGGGTGGTACCCTGTTGCAAACCATTTGATGTTATCAGGTCCCACCACTTTTTTGTTCTCCCTTTCACCTGCTCCTATAAGGGTCGTCAGCATACGCCACTTGCTTGACCTCGGTTGTTTCAATTTTATTGTGTGTTTAGACACGGATAGCCATTGCAACAGGGTCCCCTGCATTGTTCCCCTCAGTTGACTGTATGATGGTATCACCCCTCTTTTTAGAGCCTTGGTGTTTTTACTATAGAGGTCTGATGGATTCTATAGGTGTTTTTCAACATACATTGTAAAGCTGGGATACTTGATCTTGATGTTGGCCGCAGTGCGTCCTTGCGGATAAGTATGTTAGCGAATGCGTTGGAAGCATCAACCAGGAAACACCTCACAATCACGCTGCTCAAATATCGTTCTCATAGCGTGTATAGCGCTTCACCAACCTGATGGCCAGCACAAACTTGCAGGTTCCCCGCCGCGCCTGACATCGTCCTTTACCACCTCCATTATGCATTTTCCGATGATCCGCCTCAACCTTCCCCCCACCCCAATAGGCCTACATCCTGGATTCTTATCCGGGGAATGAGCAGCAGGCCGTCAGAGCATGATGGTGTTGGCAGCAAGGGCGACAATGGCAGTGCGAGATCACTGCTGCGGGGCCAAACTTGTTGGTGCTGAGGATGACTCACCAACCGTTTATCAGACCTTAGGGGCGGCCTCCTGAGTTTTCAGTGCTTTCTATCCCTCACCCATTATTTTCTCCGAACAGGACGGCATTTGAGGTGGTTTATAATGCCCTGGACGATGCCTTCCTCTTCACTTGCAGGGATGTTTTCGCCCAGTTGTTTTAATGTCTCGCTGTTTATTGGCAGAACACCACCGAGAGATTCCTCTGTAGAGATCTTGCCGCCAGAACACTTTTCCCACCTCGTATGTTTCTGAAACTTTCTTGCAACGTCATCGGTGTTTTGCTTTCCGTCTCCTCTGTTTTAGTCTCTCCTGCAGTGTTCTTGCTTCATAGGAGATCATCAAAGAGACTATTCTGCCACATTGTCAATCTTCTCTTCATTGCTGCCACATTTCTTTGTGCTTAGTCGCGCGTGTGTCCTCGTGACAGAATGGACGGGGGTAATGTGCCAGTATTTGAAGAGCTAAAGGGCAAGGAAGCAGTCCTGAGTGTACTCGGTTGTGAGACGGTCATCTCGGAATCATTTTCTTGGTGGCCGCACATGGGTGGTTCAAGGTTAGCTGGCGACCACCCGGCAATTTCTGAGTAAGTTTCTTTGACCCATATGACCGCATTTTCCATCGACATGCCATTCCACTGTGGTGACTGTCTGCCATTCTTGCCTCGTAGACATCTGCTACTATTGGAGCGGCGTTTATTAGTACTACATTTCGGGTTGAGTAGACTCATTTGCTATCATTTGCAGGATATCGTCGGGCAGTTTGTGTCTGGGCGATATCCTGTAACCTCCTGTGTCGGCTCCTGCCATATGGATGCCGGCAATTGTTTCCCTTTCTGTAAACCACACATGGTCAGTTTGTTTCTCCTTTAATCACAGCCAGTGCAGTTTTGGTTCTGGCTTCTTTAGACCTGTAATGTCTGTTACCCGGCATAGTGTTCAGCACCTTGGGCGACAGTTACGTCCGCCTCCGACATCTGCTTTAGTCCCATACAGATGAAGAAACTAGTTCTTATGAGGAAAGAGCAGAGAGGTGACAGGCTGGGCTGCTGTATCCGGGTAGTAGGGGCATACGTGCATACTACCACTACTACTACTACTAATAATAATAATATACAACAACAATTACTTTTACCACTACTTCTACAACTACTACCACCACTACCACCAACTCCGTCATCACAGGTATATACAATTGAGTGGGTGTGGGAGAACAAGGGAAGGTGTGTTGATGGTGGCTTAGGTTCCAAACTCCTACGCTAGACGGCCTTCAAGTTGTACACAATGGGAGCTCTGAGGCGTCAAACACCCCTTTACCCCTCCTCCCCTACTTCCCTTTCCTCACCCTACACCCCTATGTATTCCTTAATCTCATACATGTAATATTATAGGTTAGGTTAGGTTAGGTTAGGTTTAGGTTAGGTTAGAATCACTGAGGAAACATGAAAGTGGGCAACAGTAAACAACAGTAAACAGGAAGTAAACAAAAGTAAACAGGACAGTAGACAACAGTGAACAGGACAGTAAACAACAATAAACAGGACAGTAAACAAAAGGAAATAGATCAACAGAAATATAAGAGAACGGACAAGAAGAGAACAAGTTGTGTACGGGAGAATAAACGCCTTGACAGATGCTGAGAGTGGCAGTGAAAACTTTAAAGGGGTGTGTGTGTGTGTGGACCTCCGTTGGCCACTCTCCTCTCTCTGCCACAACCACGCACTCTCTCTCTCCCCACCACAACCACTATCTCTCTCTCTCTGTCACAACCACACTCTCTCTCTCTCCCACACCCAACCACTCTCTCTCCACCACAACCACACTCTCTCCTCCCACCACAACCACTCTCTCTCTCCACCACAACCACTCTCTCTCTCCACCACAACCACTCTCTCTCTCCCACCACAACCACTCTCTCTCTCCACCACAACCACTCTCTCTCTCCACCACAACCACTCTCTCTCTCCCACCACAACCACTCTCTCTCTCTTATCCTACAGGTATCCCCGGGGTGGCTAGATCCTCAAACGGACCAGCTAGACACAGATGGCCTGACGACGTCCTCTCTGCGGCTACGGTTTCTCCTCCTGCCGCGACTACTGCAGGAGGGGGAGGTGAGGGTGAGGTGTGGCGGAAGATCCCCGGGGTGTACCAGCAGGCGGCCCACGACGTCCTCACCACACACCCACCCTACCACGCCTCCGTCCTGGGCGGTGGTGCTGCTTCAGGTAGGTACTGGTGGTACGTCTAGTCTAAGGCGGGCTTACTGGTAGGTACTGGTAGGTGTAGGGGTTACTGGTAGGTACTGGTAGGTGTAGGGGTTACTGGTGATGCCTGGTAGGGTGGGGTTACTGGTAGGTACTGGTAGGTGTAGGGGTTACTGGTAGGTACTGGTAGGTGTAGGGGTTACTGGTAGATACTGGTAGGTCTAGACCTAGGGTGATACTGGTAGGTCTAGACCTAGGGTGATACTGGTAGGTCTAGGCCTAGGGTGTTATTGGTAGATACTGGTAGGTCTAGGCCTAGGGTGTTACTGGTAGGTACTGGTAGATCTAGGCCTAGGGTGCTACTGGTAGATACTGGTAAGTGTAGGAATTTGCCGGTAAATACTGGTAACTCTAATGGGTTTACTGGTAGGTCTAAGGTTTTACTGGTAGAAACTGGTAGGTGTAGGAGGTTACCGGTAGATACTGGTAAGTCTACTATAATACTGGTAGATCTTTTTTATTTTATTTTTTATTTTATTTTTTTTCGGGGATTAACTCACCCGGGCACAGGTTACTGACCCACATCAGGTCTGGGGGCGAAAATGTAATAATAATAATAATGATAATAATAATAATAATAATAATAATAATAATAATAATAATAATAATAATAATAATAATAATAATAATAAAAATATAAAAAAAAGATAAAAAGTGAGAAACAATATATGTATGTTGTGTTGTCAATGTTAAGAGAAACAATTGAGACCCTGCAATTGTTTGTAAATGAGGCACAAAGTCAGATCAGCAACCTGGGACTTGGTCACAATTTTCGTGGTGCCATATGGCGAGGTCTACCATTAGACAACACATTATGCTTCCAATATCTTCCCAGGCGGTAGTACCTCCCTGGTAGGTGTAGGGGGTTACTGGTAGATACTGGTAAGTCTAGGAGGTTACTGGTAGGTCTAGGAGGTTACTGGTAGGTCAAGGGGTTACTGGTAGGTCTAGGGACTACTGGTAGATACTGGTAAGTCTAGGGGTTACTGGTAGGTCTAGGGGGTTATGGTAGGTCTAGGGGTTACTGGTAGGTCTGGGGGGTTACTGGTAGGTCTGGGGTTGCTGGGTCTAGGGGTTACTGGTGGTCTAGGGGTTACTGGTAGGTCTGGGGTTACTGGTAGGTCTAGGGGTTACTGGTAGGTCTAGGGTTACTGGTAGGTCTAGGGGTTACTGGTAGGTCTAGGGGTTACTGGTAGGTCTAGGGGGTATTACTGGTAGGTCTAGGGACTACTGGTAGATACTGGTAAGTCTAGGGGTTACTGGTAGGTCTAGGGTTGCTGGTGGTCTAGGGGTTACTGGTAGGTCTAGGGGTTACTGGTAAGTCTAGGGGGTTACTGGTAGGTCTAGGAGGTTACTGGTAGGTCTAGGGGTTACTGGTAGGTCTAGGGACTACTGGTAGATACTGTGGGAGTCTAGGGGTTACTGGTAGGTCTAGGAGGTTACTGGTAGGTCTAGGGGTTACTGGTAGGTCTAGGGACTACTGTAGATACTGGTAAGTCTAGGGGGTTACTGGTGGGTCTAGGGGGGGTTACTGGTAGGTCAAGGGGTTACTGGTAGGTCTAGGGACTACTGGTAGATACTGTAAGTCTAGGGGTTACTGGTAGGTCTAGGGGTTACTGGGTCAGGGGTTACTGGTGGTCTAGGGACTTGTGTTGTACTTCTAGGGTTACTGGTAGGTCTAGGGGTTAGGGTCTGGGGTTACTGGTAGGTCTAGGGGTTACTGGTAGATAGTTGGTCTCGAGGCAGCTACAGTATAGACCTTGAGACACACACACTGATACAGACAGACTACTATAACTTGTTGTATGTTATATTAATCGTTGGTTTATTATGCCCCTCTCAACAGGTACACGGCCCTGGCACGACCTTCTGGCCCTCACCTTCCCTCTCCTGGTGTCATCCGTCGCTGTTCACCCGCTTCTCTGAGTCTGCCTCACCCACTCCACCACCACCAGCAATACCGTCTTCATCCGTCAACGCGCTGATCTACGAACCAAAAAACTAAAATACAATAAAAATTCAACCAATTCATCCACCAAGGACAGTAAAATTAGCTATCAATCATGCCTTAACCCCCCCACCACCCCTTCCTTTCTCCTACACTCTCTGTCGACAAATCTCCTCCTTAAATCCCTCACTTCCAACTTCCCCAGCCCCCAGCAGCAGCACCTATATAGCTTATGTCTTATCCATCATCCACCACCAGTAGTTACACAGCCAACAGGTCATCCAGCAACAGTAGGAAGAGGATAGTACCGCCCCCCACCCACTCCCCCTCCCCCCTCACCTCACCTCCTTCAGACAGCAGCAAAAGCGTCACACAATAGCAGCAGCATTTATGTAAACAAGAAAAAAATACATCAATAGAAAAATCCGATCAATCATCCTGAATTTTGCTCATCCGCCCATGGAAACATGTCTCTTGCTCCCCCTTCCTCCCTCTCTTCATCCACATCATCCATCAAATCATCCATTATATACAACCTTCATCTTGGATTATATAAAAATGGTATATAAATAAGACGTATTTTAATTTACTTTTGGAAATTTTGTGTTTAATTCTATAAGGTTGTTTATGTTAAGAGTGCACCCGTACCTTTGTCCTTTATTCCACCCTTATTGATGTGGAAGTCTGTGGCGATGTTTTCTGTGTGTACGTGAGTTGGGTGGACGTCAGATCACAGACTCCTCTCCCTCTACCTACTCACTTATCTCTCATCTTCTCCTCCTCTTCCTTCTTCCACCCTTCCCAATCTTCAATTTCCTCCTCTTCCTCCCCAGTCTTCATCCTCCTCATTATCCCTCCTCCTTGTTCCTCTCTCTCTCACCCAACAATTATCCATCTCCCCCCCCTCCCAATTACCTAACAGTTTACCCATTTTTACCTATGCACCTCCCCATTACCCATCTCTCCTTCTCTCGCCCCAATTTTAGCCAATTTTCTCATTTTCCTTTCATCTACGTAAGACAAATTAGGTCCTTCCAGATTTCCCTCGAGTATAAGACGAACGTGATACCGGGCTTCTTACTCCTCCTCCTCCTCCTCCTCGTCGTCCGTGCTATAACATCTCTCTTTCCCCCTCCCTCCCTCCCTCCCTCTCCCCTTCCCTCTTATCTCTGCCATATTTTCTGCCCTTCCCTCTCTCCCCTCCCTAATCTACATTTTTTCCCCTCACTACCACAAGCTTACATCTCTCTCTCTTCCCTTCCCGTTTGCCCTTCCCTCCCACCACAACCACCTCCCCTCCCCACAACCTTCACTTCTAGCGTCGCTCCCTTCCCCACAACCACGTCTCCCCTCCCCCCCTCACAACTACATCTATAGCCTCATTCCCTCCCTCATCACCCCCACAACCATCTAGCCTCCCTCCCTCCAACCACGTCTCCTCCTTCCCTCCCAGAACCACATCTGTGCCCTCTCACCCCCACAGCCACATCTAACCTCCTTCCTTCACCTAGCCATATCTCCCCTCCTTCCTTCCCCCCACAACCATGTCTCCCCTCCTTCCTTCCCCACAACCATACCTACCCTCCTTCCTTCCCTCCCCCCCTTCCTCTCCCTCCTTCCCCCCCACAACCCATATCTCCCCTCCTTCCTTGCCCCAACCATATCTCCCCTCCTCTTCCTTCCCCCACAACCATATCTCCCCTCCTTCCCCCCATAACCATATCCCCTCCTTCCTTCCCCACAACCATATCTCCCCTCCTTCCTTCCTTCCCCCACAACCATATCTCCCCTCCTTCCTTCCTTCCTCCATAACCATATCTCCCCTCCCTCCCTGCCCCTCGACACTCACCCCAATACACCTGGCAACACTCCCTCGCTTCCTTCACAGAATCACTTTCAAAGCACCTCCTCGCTCTACGCCAGTCTCGTTGTTGTTGTTGTTGTTGGAGATGGGTTGGGTGTGACGTCAGAGAACATTACGTAAAATTGTCCCTTTAACTTTGTTCTTTAAAGTTGATTACGAAAATCAATTATAGATCTCAAGAGTTTATGAATTAAATAATGAATTCTGAACGCCTTATATTCTTACATATTTAGTTACGGATGTTATTTTGATCGGAGGTAGTAATAAGATCTCAATCATATATTATATTTTTGACGCTACCAAACTCCTTTATACTTTCATTATTTGTCCCATAAAAACTTTGATTATTACTGAGGGAGAATTTATACATGCCCGGGTAAGCCACGTCAGATATTGCTTACTAAATTCAGACATTCAAAGCTTTACACAAGTACATTCCTACATAATTCAACTAACTAAACTTATCTCTATATAATAAACTAACCTAGCTTATCTGGCTTATAAACCACTGCAGACTATTTTTTTTTAATTCCTAAGCGTAATAAAGTTGAATCTACTGCGTAAATAACAGCTTTAAAAATGTGATGAGAGAAAAAGCGCACTCCGCCTCACACAATGTAAACAAACCCGTTATTGTTTATCATATTACCGCCATTTGTCAGCTTATTAAAGGCTCGTGTGGTCCCTAATCTTTGATGCAGCCTTCATTGTCAAGTATTAGTACAAGAGGAAAACAAAAATAAGATATTTGGTAATTATCGTAATGTTACACTGAATTAAAAAAAAAAGGTATACTGTACCCTTCTCACATCTGACCCTGCTGGGATTTGAACCCGGGACATGGTTGCGAGAGGCATGATTGTGACCTTCACTTTAATCCCCTTGTGTGTGCAGCAAACTCGAATTATTATTATTATTATTATGAGTAGTAGTAGTAATAGTAGTATTGTTGTACTGATAAATGTAAAAAAAAAAATTTGAACTGACTCACACGCTCTCAACTAAAATTTTCATCCAATTGTGATATGCCACAAAAAACATCATCTACTTTTGATAATTTTCCCTTCCTAAAAGATAAAAAAAATAAATCCAAGGCACTTAATTTGAGACACTCAGAAGACGACACCCAGATACAGGAAAATGACTTACGGCACTCAGAAAACAATCAGATACGACAAATGACATCAGACATTCAGAAGAAAACAATCAGATAGAAAAAGTTACATCAGACACTCAGACAACACACAACACTCAATCACACTCATAAGTCAGCACATCCTTCCTTCACCCCTAGCCTCTGGACAGGTCAGATGCCCCCCACCCCCCTTCTATCTGTCTGTCCTGTCCGGGTCACTCAGAAGGTCCTCATAATGCTCACATGCTCATTTTAACCTTACTGTGTGTGTGTGTGTGTGTGTGTGTGCGCGCGCGCGCGCGCGTGTTTTCAGTATTTGTGCGTGTTTATTGTGGATGCGTGCACATGTTTGAGTTATTCTTCACCTGTGAGTATGTTGATGTATGTATGTATGTCTGTCAGTGTATGTGTTTAGTGTGCACATAATTTTATTTATGCTGATAAATTTATCTTATGTGTATATGCGTTTGTATGTGTGTGTGTGGTGTGTGTGCGTGTGGGAATGTGTGCCTATCTAGATCCACACATGTTTTGCTTAATGTGTACGAATATGTATACACAAATAAATGTTTGTGTATGTATGTGTGTATATAAATAGATCTCTAGGCGTATGTATTGTGTTCATGGTTAAAGTCACGAATGTATGTGTACGTATGTGCGTGTAATTATATATGTATATCTGTTTGTGTACGTTATATTGTTGTTTTCTACTTAATCACAATGTGTACATATCTGTGTAACCACGTGTACAAAATAACAATAAAAATAATAATCAGAAACAATGTATTTGTTGACCCTTCAGTACTGACAGTAAGATAATTTACTTTTACTACTACTACTACTTACCGCTATTCCTACTTCTATGTATGAAACAAGAAACAAATCGTTTAATACAGAAGAATCACTTAAGATTCTATCAAATGTTTTCTAATACACAGGAGAACATTATGTACACACAACTGCTGGTATTTGAGTTTTGCATCTCTCTCACTCGGGTCCTGTTATCAGCTGGGGACGGGCCGCCGCTTGAGCGAACATCACAACAACAATCTCACGCTGGAGCGGACACCAGCTGGCCCATCACGTGACCCCCTCCCCCCCCTGCCTGTATTTAGAGTACATTTCTACAGTTATCCAGGGAATATATTTACAATACATAAATAATTTTTCAAATAAACTGTTTATCAAGTGTTGGCTTTCACTGAAAAACGTGGTCTGATTATATCTTGGTAAGAATTGTCCTCTGAATCCGTCACTCAATGATAAATTTGGTATTAGTTAAAATCACTATTTTGGCCATTTCCGTTAATTTAAAACAATTTACCAATTTACCTTGGGTAAGTTAAACTGGAAATTATATATATATATATATATATATATATATATATATATATATATATATATATATATATATATATATATATATATATATATATGAATTGATTGAAACTCCCCATTATAATTATGAATACTATACAGCACTCGCACTGTAGCAATTTCAGTTCACCATTCTTAGCAACAGTTCACAATAATTTTTTCTCGAGCTGATTTTCCACTAAATTTCTTTCTCGTTCAACGAAGGAAGTTCCTTGTGCTCTTAAGAATGTAAGACCCTACACTGAAATAAGACTGTATCTCCCAGGGTCAAGGATACATTGTTTATTTATTATCTTTTTGTTTCTCATTTCAGTACTTACTAGCCCTTCGGGAGTCGGTCTATTTTGTATTTGTTATGTTCTTCAATGTTGTGTGTTACTGCAGGAAAAAACCGGAATACTTGAAGAAAACCTGTCAGGTTCAGTCGTGTCACACTGGATAACATCCTTCTCATCTCACTCAGGCTGGGGACTGAACCCAAGGACACATTAATGAGATTTACGCACGTTACCACTGCACCACTGACATTTAATGACGCCGTCCTCACACTTTACCTAACATTATATTTAAGTCTGATTCCCACGCTTCCTAGGGTCATGTTTACTTTATACATGATCACTTTTAACCAACTAGCAGCTTAGTTTTTAGATTTTTTTGGTAACAGTTTCTTAATACAGTATACCTCAAGGTATAAGTGTGCTTTTAATCAGGTCACAGTGAACTACTGTAATATGCTTGATTGATACTACATATTAATTCCTAAAGATGTTTCCATAGCTACTATCAATAATGTACTGTACTGTACCAGCAATAAACTCATCAGAGCCATTTTAAGCAGAACCTGATTAGTATAGCGTCATGAGGTTCTATTTCCACCAAGATAAAAAATAAATAAATAAAATATAGTTATACATGGAAGTACTGTTGTATTAGACGTATTTCATCATGCAGTCTCATCTCTTGGAGCACTTTCACACTGCACCCCACCTGGTAGTCTGACATTCAGTCACACCTTACGTTATCATTCTTCAAGCCCATACCGTACTGTAGTGTCATTCTCAAAACAAACACACACATACTACTACTACTACTTTTCTGTCAGTGAGTTCGAGGTGAATCAAGATCTGCAGGGTCGTCCACAGATGTTGCACGTGTGGAGGGCTACATCTAGTTCAGAAGGGACGGCGGCAGCGTCTTTCCGGCGCTGGTCTGCCTACGGTTTGCAGTCAGGCTAACTCGAAAGTACTGTATTGACACCTTCTCGTGTGATGTTCCTCCAAGTATTACGGCGTGGAGCGAATGTCTCCCAGGTGAGGGGATCGATTTGGCACTTTTTCAGGTTTGTCTATTCATTAAGTGACTTTAAAGTGGCTGCTTTGATAGTCTACTGTCATCCATGTGAGTAACATGGCCAGCCTAGCGAGAATACTGGCATTTGTTCTCTTGTCTTCCCAGTGAACTTGGTGGATGGAACGTAGACTAAGGTGGTGAAAGTTTTCAAGTGCCTTGAGATGCCTCCTGTATGTGGCCCATGTCTCGCTGCCATATAGCAGGGTGAGGAGAACCACTGTTCGATGTATGTGCAGCTTTATAGATAATTTCAGCTCCCTACAGCTGAAGACATGAGTAAGTAGTCTGCCAAAGGCTGGAGATACACATCTGATCCGATGTTGAATCTCTTCATCGATGTCTGTGATGCTGGACAGGTGGGAGCCGAGATACTGAAAGTGGGTAACATTAATGAGGGCAGTACCATTAACCTGAATAGATGTTGGAGGTGTGGCTGAACCAGGGGCAGGCTGAAAGAGAATCTGAGTCATACATACATTCACCTCAAGGATGGCATTCACATCTGCCCCAGATCTGGTCGATTCGTGGAGTAACAGAGGGGTCGTTTGCATACCGAAGTTCTATAATGAAAGCTGCCAACACCTTTCCTCCAGCCTGGAGTCGTCTTATGTTGAAAAGTCCCTTCATCCAGTATACTGGATGCTCACCCGGCCTGCTAAATTGACATTGGCACGAGTAAGGAAGGCTGCCAAGAAAATGGAAAAGAGTGTTGGTGTATTTCCCCCGTTTGGATGAGGAAGAACTCAGACTGGGTGCCATTGTGTAGGACACTGCTATTCATGCCATCGGGGAGTTGCCTCACAATGGCAATGAATTTTGGTGGGCAGCCACAACAACTGAGGATCCGCCAGAGGGCTTCCCAGTTGACCGAGTCGAAGGCCTTGGTAAGGTCGATGAAAGCCATGTACAGGTCACGAAGCTGTACTCTTCATTTTTCCTGTATCTGGCGGGCAGCAAGGATTCTGTCAGTGGTGCCACACAATGGTCTAAACTCTAGAGCCACATTGAGATTATGGGAGGAAGATGTCTGCCTCAGGTACAAGTCTGTTTAGGAAGACTCAAGGCTAGTTCGTCGAGAGGAAGTGAGATCCTGCAGAGCTAATGCCACAGTCTTACCATTCTTGTTTTAAAGGAGTTTCCACACATTCTCCAGGAGAGAGTGGAGATGGCTGGTGTTGAGTGTCCCCTGCTGCAGACAAGAGATCACAGGCTGGGAATTCATCAGGCCTGATGATGCCAAGGAATTTCACTGGGATGCAGGAGGTGATGCTGAGGTGGCCTACTTGGTGGAAGTGAGGGACTCTGTGTAGTCATGATCCAATAAAGCTGAAGGAGCAGAATGGCAGCGTTTCTTTCCACCAGCAGGCTCAATTAGGGAGTTAACAAGTATATGAGCCATAATGAAACCAGAGGATTGGCCCATAAAATATTTTAGCGGAATTGAAAAATTTGGGCATCTTGCATTGATCATTTCACATGCTTTATTTTTCAACCGTTCGTTCTTTAGATTTCAAAGTTCACACTGGGCCGCCGTTTTCTTCTTGTGGAAGGTACAGTTTCCCAGTCAGGTTGTTTTTTTAGGCAGGCTATGTTTAGGGCACCTTTTCTAGCCCCCTCCCCATGTGGGGTGAGCAGTGACTCCTCAAAAGGGCTGTTCAGTCACACAGACAGGACCAGATTGCACTGCTGCCTAGATCCCAGTGCATAAACGACCATCTTACTGTATCTATGCCATCCATGTGCAGAGTTGTGACTAGAGACTCCCAGCAGTCATCTCTGCCTGTTCCCATCACCATTTGTTCAATGCCATAGGACTTTTGGGGTACAGTATAAGGGTTATAAGGGTTTTGATGTTGGTCACCTCTTCCACCATTGAGGTCTTACTGGAGCTCTGTAAGCAAGTTTGCCTGATGCAGGGCTCCACTGCAGATTTTTTGTTTGGGGTTTACTCCCGTAGCCTTGTACCTACCAAGGCTAATCTGCAAGACAGCGTGGCATTAGTTGGTAGGCGCCAGGATGTGTCCAAATGCCAGTGGGCCTATGCGTCGTTCCTCTGGGGCCCACTGCTGCTCCAAGATCCCCCGTTGATCTAGCCTGGGCCCATGAGGTACCCAGTTACCGTGTGTTGCCACAAGGAGGCACAGAAGGAGTCTCACACACGCACGCATGCACACACATTATTATCATCCTCAAACCACACACTATTACTCTCAAACCATACATAATCATATTCAATCCCCATACTATTATTCTCAAACCTCACACTATCATTCTCAATCAACACACACAATCATTCTCAAACCCATACTATTATTATCAATCTCCAGGCTATCATTATCATTCTAAGAGCACACACACTGTCATTCTCAACCATATATGCATATTATCGTTCTCAAACCTCACTACAGTACTACTAATTATCTGAAACTCTACACGATCTATTTTCCAATTTCTACATTAAAAAAAGGATTAAAAAACCTGCACTTTCATTAGTCATTCATACCCAACAGTGTTATTCATTAAAAAATATATACTACAAAGTACGTACTGTAATTTCACTTTTCCATCTTCTATGCTTCTCTAACTTCTACTTACCTCAATTCATTTTTCAATATTCTACTTTTCTACTTGTGTATGGATGTAGATAATGATCGTTCTATCTTTTAATATTCTCCGTGTAAGTGTAATTCAACTATCTCAATTCCTAAATTCCCAAACCAACATTAGAAATTATTTTGCAAGTGCTTAAAATGTTACAATGGGTCTTAGGAATTTCTTAGATATGAAATTGATAAGCTGACAAATACTACATGATGACTTGGATTACCTGAAGAATCTCAATCCTAAGTTAATTTCACCTAAAGATTAACATCCCTAATGCTAACCTAACTTCACCTGATTCCCCAAAATAGCATTAGGGTGGTTAATCTTTAGGTGAAATAAGGTGGAGGGAGAGATTCTTCAGATGATCCAGTGACTTTACTCTACTCTACTCTACCTATACGAGAAAAGGACAAGACATGGGCAGAAAAAGATAAATTTCAGTAAATTAATATATCACACACGTTTTATTCTGTAGACTTTCCACTCTTTCTGAATTCAAGGTCAACAATAAGAGGTATGTGGTCTGATGGAAATGTGATGCTTGGCAGAGCACCATGCTGGGTCACCTCCTCAAGGGTTGGCATGGGTACCACCTGAAAAGAATGAAAGAGAATGTTTTAATGCTTCATAATACACAAAATTAGAATATGATACTATGGGATTATTTTTGTAAATATGACTACCGAAATAATAATGATGGAAGAAACCTACTCAGTACACCAGGAAAAGTGTTTGGTAAATATTACTGAGAAAACTGTAGTCAACACAAGGAGTGTATTAGCAGTGTGGGCTCAGAAAAGGAAGAGGATGTACGGTACATGTCACGAGTTTGCACCTTAGAACAAGAGTAAAACCTTCTAGAAAAAGGAAAGAGTAGAGTAGAGATAAAGGCAATGAAGGAAGTATTGCATCTATATGTAATACCGGTAAATGGGAAATTACAGAATACTGTCCAGAGATTTACAAGGAAAGTGCAATTTGAGTTATTCGACAGGGAGAGAGAAATTGGTTCCTCAGTGAAGGTAGGAACACCGTAAGGTTGTGTAATATTGTCCAGATTTTTCAATGTATTCATGAAAGGAGTACTAAGAGAGGTGAAAGCAAAGGTAATGAGAAATGGTACAAGTACAATATGCTGGGTGAACAGGGCATAAAGATTAAGATTTAAAGAGATATGGAGATGTGGAAGATAATTGCATGTTGTGTAGAAAATGGATGCTTAAGTGTTCTGGTCATATTGAGAGAATGGGAAGTGAAAGATTGATAAAAAATAGCACTGTATATAATTCAAAGGTGGATGGTGTGAAGGAGAGGGGAACACCAACAAAGATAAAGAAGGGTGGATTGAGGTGTGGGCTATAAGTGCAGGGGCTGGACATTCAGGAAGCATCACTGTGTGTGAATGAATCGTGTATGTCTGTAAGTGATGTTTGGGGAAGAACACACTGCTGAAGGCTGCTACTGGATTGCAAAAATAAACAGGGGAAACCAGATAGATTATTAGAACCTGGTCATGGAAAGAGAGAATCATAGCAGAACACCATTATCACAGCAGTAAGTGTGAATGAATTGTTTTGAATGACAGGAGAAAGTATTGTATGTACTTTTGTTTTTGATTACAGCCATCCTGCATTATAGCAGAAAAAGCATGAAAGAGTGGAAAATAAACTTTACTGTTAAGTTAACTTATTTTCACTACAAACAGTTGTCACTCAGTGATGTGGGAGGGAGACAGTTTACTGGTTCTGAGTCAGATTAAAGATTTACCCGGTACGGACTGCATCCATTCTAATGCCCAGAAATATTAAGTTTTCTCTTTACATTATTTCTTTTGAACCCAACCCTTGTCTACCTGGAGGAACTCATAAATGAGAGAGAATCAACTTCATTACTGCAACTTAAAATGTTCATAATTTTTTTGTTTTAATTCTGCACTGAAAGCTGACCATTTCATCCACATAATAATTAGTATTGTGATGATAAGTGATATTCTTCAGGAAATGCTTCAAGCATTATTATTTGGTCTCTGATAAAGTCATCTTCCATGGGTGGTGTCAAATATTTGCACAAGATTATACATGGATATCCTAGATTGGTTCTGTACGGTACTAGAAAATAACTAACGGCATTTGATAAGACAGGTAGGAAAGAGTTTGAATAAAATATATAAGAAAAAGCTGAAGGAACAGTTTGAGAGGGTAAATTTGAGGAGATATGAACTACTCAAATATAATACTGTATTCTTAAACAAGAGCCTTCATGCATCATCTTACTGTATATACAGAAAACAAAGTAAATATCATTTACCGGTATACTGTATACAGAAAACGAAGTACAGTTAACCAAAGATGCACTGACCCCACCCTGGGTCTTGTACTCACAATTTTACCTGGCAATACTTGGTAAGGTAAGGCAGTAATCCCCTGTATGTAATGGTGATAGTGATTGATGGATCTATTTTCGGTTTTATTGCCACGTAAAATTGCGAGTACGAGACCCAGGGTGGGGTCAGTGTACCTTTGGTTAACTGTACATACAGTATACAGAAATCAAAGTATCATATGTACTGCATAAGCACTTGTTATAAAACTTTTTGACATATACATTCTTTTAATAGAATTGTAAGTTAACATTCATGAGGTAGGTCAACAGAACAATTTACAGTGTGCATAATTTAGAAGTTACATAATACAAAAGATTATACAGTATTATATTTCAACCAAACTTTGAGACAGACACACACCTGTTTTACAGTGAACTCTTTTGTTTGATAAAATATATAATCTAAACAACCGTGGAAGGATGAGGTATAGGTGGTATACGGAGGACACCCGCAGGCACTGGCCAGCTCAAGCTCATGTCTTAAGCACATACCCTCAACACACTCTCCAAATTCTGAAAATAAAGCATACAGTACAATGTCGATTTAAAGCGACACCCACGATTAAGGACAATGTTTTAATTTAAAGCGAATCTTTCCTATTTTGTGCGAGTCAATCTGGCGCATCAAATTAAAAAATTAGCGCCTAATGTTTCTCTGGGCACGTTACACTGTCCTACGGGCAAAGCTGTACTGTACATGTACTCAAAATAATGTACTAAATGATTACTAAAATTTTTGTCGAGTGCAAACTGTAGCATGATTATATTCAAATTAATCACAATCTTAAAAGAATTCCAGCAATGTAAATTATATTCTCCCAGGGCACTTCTGTGACATTTTATAAACAAAAGACAAAAACTCAATCTAAAGGACATAAATAAACAAATAAATACTTCACTAGACCTTCACGGCCAACTGTAAAACATGTCACTGTCTCCTCCCCTTCCTCCTTCCTCCCTGCCCCCCTCCCAGCCAGGGTTTGATGACTTTTAAGCTTTTATCTATATAATATCAAAGATTAAAGTTAGGAGAATATAATTTGCATTGCTAGAATCTTTGCAAGACAGCAAATAATTTATATATAAACGTTATATATTTTGCACGAGATAAAAATTTTAGCCCTTTGTAGATAGAACTAAAATTTGTATGTCTAATGCGAACTATATCATATTTGTATTCAAATTAATCACTATCTTATAAGAATTCCAGCAATGTAAATTATATTCTTCCAGGTCAGTTTAGTGACATTTTATAAACAAAAAACAAAAACTCAATCTATAGGACATAAATAAACAAATAAATGTTTCACTCGACCTTTGGCCCCAACTGTCAAACATGTCACTGTCACCTCTATCTTTCCAGCCAAGGTTGGGTGGTTATAGGCTTACAGCTTTTATCTTATATATTATCACAGTCTAAAGTTAGGAGAATATAATTTGCATTGCTAGAATCCTTGCAAGACAGCGAATAATTTGAATATAAACGTCATATATTTTGCACAAGAGATAAAAATTTTAGCCCTTTGTAATAAAATTAGTTAGAACTAAAATTTCTATGTCTAATGTGAGCTATAGCATGTTTAAATTCAAACTAATCACTATCTTATAAGAATTCCAGCAATGCTAAATATATTCTTCCAGGTCAGTTTAGTGACATTTTATAAGAGAAAAACTTAGTCACCCCCCCCCCATCTAACAATCAGCTGATTGCTAGTAAACAGACCATTTCACGTCCCATAATTTTAGCTGTGTTGATTTATGAGCATTTCTTTTAACATAATACTACAAAAAACAATGTTTTGTTTATTCTAGGAGATGGGCTGAGGTGCATCTGGGTAGACTCTCAGTCAGTTTAGTATTTTGTGTTTCTCTCAAGTACCAAACTAAATTATTCCATTAAAACACTTTGATTTAGTGCGAATTCGGTTTAAAGCGACCTCTCTTGGAACGTATGTATCTCGTGTTATATCGACGTTCTACTGTATTAACCAATTCATTTTAATGGAGTCTTGTATAGGGGGTCCCCGACTTACGAACGTCCCGAACGTCCGACTTATGAACGCCCGCCAATACTAACGAGGTTAAACTTGAAATTTACCTGATGACTTATTTTTTACCATCATTTACTGTATTTTGTCATTCTATTTCTTCTTTTGTCTTAAATTAAGTGATTATATATATATATATATATACATATACATATACATATATATATATATACATATACATATATATATATATATACATATACATATATATATATATACATATACATATATATATATATATACATATACATATATATATATATACATATACATATATATATATACATATACATATATATATATACATATATACATATATATATATATATATATATATATATATATATATATATATATATATATATATATATATATATATATATATATATATATATATATATATATATATATACAGTATAAGGACTTAGGGTATGATATACAGGTAGTAGGATTTTAAACATTGTTTTGTAAATACGGTATACATATAGCATGTTTTCTGACCTACGTACAAATCCAACTTAAGAATGTCCTCAGGAACACCCGTCCGTAATCCAGGGACCCCCTGTACTTGAAAGATTTTGCTTAATGTGAAAAATCCTCTTGGTAAAAAGATATAGAAACGTAATACAGGCAGTCTACTGGGGACATTCTTAAGTAAAGAAAGGTCAAAACACTTACAGAACAATGTTTACTATATCATAGCCTACATCCTTATATACTGTACATCTAAAATCACTTAATTTAAGACAAAGGAAGAAATAAAATAACAAAATACAGTAAATGTAAGTAAAACATAAGTCATCAGGTAAATAAATACTGTAAATTTAAAGTTTAACTTCATGGGAACTCGTTCGTATCGGCAGATGTTCGTAAGTCAGACGTACGTAACCTGAGGACCTCCTTACAATACTCTGATGCAATGATACATAATTGTTCCTTATATTATTAGTACTGTACTTCACTATCAATTAATGGGAATAAATAAATACAGCTGCTCCCGACTTACGACGGGGGTTAGGAACCGACATCCAGGTCGTAAGTCGAAATGGTCGTAAGTCGGAAATGCTTAAATAATACATAGAAAATCTAAAATGGGGGTCTCTTTTCTTCTCAGCACCACAAAACACTCACTTTTAAGCTTGCCAGCCATTTTAAAGTGAATTACAGATGAAAATTTTGTCTGTGTACCGACTTTGGGACTCGAAAATGCGTAATTTGACCAAATTTTGGTACGACTGAGGCAGGTCGTAAGTGCGGGTGGTCGTAAGTCGAGTAGGTCATAAGTCGGGGAGGAGCTGTACTGTACTTAAAGCTAAACTTATGGAGTAATTTCATTTTACTAAAGTACAAATACATTTTTACACATTTTCTCCTCTAGAAAAGTGATGACACCATAAGTTTTGGAATGCAGTATCTAAGTCAATACGTAAAAATTTTCACTAAAAATTTTGATTGCTGTGCAGTATCCTGTATTTCAAGTAATGTTGTAGCCTTTACAAGTTACTGCAGTCTTCTAAGTATTGTTGCAGTCTGTAAGAATTACTGCATTCTTAATTATTTTCGTAGTCTTTAAGTGTTGCTCCACTCGTTAAAAGTGACCCAAGAGTTTTGACAATGCTCTATATGCAATGAATTCCTTGCCAAAAATGTGGGACATTGGATAATCAATAAAAAAATTTACTATTTCATATACTGCACTGAATAGTACTTACTACTCTTCCAGACAACATTACCACTATCAACATGTTGTGTGGTCATGAACTGGTAGAGAGCAGATTCTGGTGTGCTATTGAAGTCCCCACAAAAGAGTAGTGAAACCTCTTTGTCTGGATGCTGTAATAAAACAAGCATGTCACACAGCATATTTATCACAAAGAAAAAATGGCTAATTTCTACTTTTTTAAATCTAACTGCAGCAATCTAAAACTGACAAAAGCATTTTACACAATCTGTGTTTCTGTGTTTGTAAATATGTGCAAGTGTAAGCTAAAATGAGCAAATGTGTGTTTATATGCACAAAAAATGTACAGTCCTCCTTACTTATAGTAAGCCACACACACTAGCAGCTTCGAAATTCCTAACCATCAACTTCACTGAGTCCATCCCTCCTCCACCTCCCAAAACATACAAACTAGTCAATTAATTGGTGGTCAGCCAAGGTATGAAGTCAATGTTTACCCCTGAACACGTTAGTATTCTTAGGTTTTAGAAACAGAAAGAAAATTAATTTCTCTGATTAATTTTAGCTTTTGGGGGTTGAAAATTTGCTTTAAACTTCAATGTAGGCCGTCCTTGATGCACAGATTAAGAATCCACGTAAAGTCAATGCTTACCTCCGAACATGTTAGCCTGGATAAATAACTTTAAAAATGTATTATCTGTCTGTTCCTAAAACCTCTCCAAACAAAAGTGTTCAGAGGTAAGCATTGACTTTACACCTTGGCTGACCACTGATTAATTGCCTGATTTGTATGTTATGGGAGGTGGGGTGGGGGGATGGACTCAGTGAAGTTGATGGTTAGTTATTTCGGAGCTGCTAGTGTGTGTGGCTTATAAGTAAAGTGGACTGTACATACAGGTGCGTCATTTTGTATAAGTCTATAAAGCCAAAGAATTTTTCTAATTTTTGTTTTGAAAACTCTGAAATTATGGTACAGTAATGTGTTTCCATTACTGTATAAATTCAAGAACAAACAGAATGAAACCCTTTTCATCACCCACCTTCATCTGATACTGGGTAATGACATGCTGCAAGATCTTAAGGCACATCCCTGCCTGTAGTATACGAATGTGACTGGCATCTGGGTGAAAGTATAAGTGAGTGGCACCAACCACCAATAATCTGGAGGGGTCACAGACACTCTCAAACACATTCACCTGAAAGAAAAAAAAATTATAAATTAAAATAAATTAAAATTATTAATGCTCAATTTCAGATACTGTATTTATTATGTAACATTGAGCGTCAACATCAAGTGGACTGGACACAAAGATCAATACAGTCTATGGTATCAATGTAACAAAGTCTATACAATAAAAAATTTGATCCAAAAGAGCCCCAGATCTTGTTAGGATTATGTTCCTATACAATGCTGTGTTGTAGATAATAACATTGTGTAGACATTTTAGTACCTGTATATAGTAAAGGAATAAGTGACATATTTTTCTGATGACACTATCCTATGTTCCCCTCCAGATAAAATGAACATTCCTTTCTGTAATCATTTTAATTGACAAAACTAAAATATACAATGCCTTTTACCTGTAAGATTGTGCGTACATGCAGAAAATTTTTCAACAAGTCTGGACTCCTCTGTATATTTTGCCAGATATCAGCAAACAACACCTCGTTCTGTAGATCCTCGCTCAGGACTACACGTCTTCGCTCTAGCATTCTATCAAATTACAAAATGAAAATTGTATGTGAAAATTCATACAGAAAAGATTATTATAATTCTAATAGTACCAAGTAATCTTATATCCCTGAAAACTAAAGCTCTTACAAGTACAGTAAACCGTCATTTAACCGACCTATTGGGGGAGGAAGGGGAAGGGGGAGGGGGGGGGGACGAAAAAGCCGATAAGTTGGATAAACAAGGTACTGTACCAAAAATACATTACTGCACATAAGATAATCACTTGACTTAGGTAATAATTATATATGAGCATACAGGGTACCAATATATGTAAATACAGGTACAATATACAGTATAATTTAATACAGAAATAATAATACTTACAGTATGCTATGTTGCCACGTTTAACAACTGCTTACACAGTAAACAGCTGACCGGACTCGTCCCATGGGGGGTGGGTTGGTTATTGCAGAGGTCGGTTATACAAGGGTTTACTGTATGGACAAACACAATAAATATGCCATAACTGATTACTTAATCCCTTGTATTCAAAGTTCTCTTTGAGCTGAATAAAATTGTCTGGTCTTAACCACATAAAATACGAAAAGTGGCATCCCCATAGTGCAAGGGTTAACACAGGCATCCCCCGGGTGATGGAAGGGTTCCGTTCCTGAAAATCTTTCGGTAGTGCAAAATTCCGTAACACGAAACCATTTTCCCATTGATTCCCATTATATAAGTTGAGATGTGTTCCCAAGGAAAATACTTTCAGCCCAGAAATGCAATACTGTACAAGCACATACAATGATTCATTCATGATGTTCCATGACAATTAATGCACACACTTGAATTTAACTCACTAGAAATGATGTTGAGTGCTACATGAGGTGGTGAGGCGAGGTGGTGCAATCGGAGTTACTTGGAGTTACCTCCTTAAAACTTCATATTTAATGTCCAACGTAATTCCTTTGTGGAATCTTTTAGCACCACTGCTTTCACTTAAACTTGATGGCCTTTTTCCACTCATCTTGAATAAGGGTACACAGTAACACAGATGTATAACTGAACACAAACTTAGCAGCATCATTGTTGTTAAGCTGGCCACTGGGTAGTCTTGTAGCTCTCATCAGAATCCACACGAAATAAATTGTATAATTTTGGTGAATTTTTTTGGTTTATATCACGATTTTTTCTTTTGAAAAACTTAATAAATTAACCAAAATTCCATAATGGGCGAATACCCGGTATAGTCCTGAACACAAGCTGGGGAAAGAATTCTAACTGAGCTGTTTGTTGTGGTTCTTAGGAGGCAAGCCGCCCTCCAACTCTCTTGTAGCTACCTGTACCACCAAGAAGTCATACAAAATAAATTGTATAATTTTGTGAATTTTGTGTTAGAAAAAATTTGAAATTTACCCAAATCCTGTAAGCGCTAGTTTCCATAACCCAGGTTCCCATATCACGGGGAAAGCTTGTACAGTAGAGGACTAGGATTGCCTCCATATCCCTCAGGTCTTTATATAAAGAGATACCTTACAGGGACAACTTAATTAGCTTACACAGTACAGTGGTCCCTCGGTTAACTAACGGTTCAATTAACCAAATTTCGGTTAACGAATTACCTCCCATAAGGATCTTCAATTCGGTTAACAAACAAAACTTTAATTAACGAAATCCTTACAAACAACACGTTTTGTTGTGAGCATCAGCTGATCAGCTGATGGACTAGTCTGCCAATTCAGTAATCTGTTCTATGTTTACATTCGTTACTAGTGGAGTATATATCAAGAAAGTTGTGCTCTTTAATATTTTTGCATTTTTTATATTAAAATTATTAGTCATTTTAAAATTTAGTTAACATATTGATAATATATGCAGTGCAGGGAACTATTTTTTTGTGCGCCACAGGCAGCTTGACTCAGCCACCAGGCGTCAGTTTGGCTTTGTTGACAGTGGGGAGAACATCTATTTTGTTGGTGTCTTGAATATTTTTGTATTTTTACATTCAAATTATTGGTCATTCTGAAATTTAGTTAACATATTGATAATATATAGCACAGTGCAGTGTTGACTTAAATAAAATAATCTTGAATTACACCTAGTGAACTTAAAATTTTATTGGTGAAATGACTGCATCAAGCTTGGGTCCCCTTAAAAGTGATTTCTCCTCCATCCCCACTTCCTTCTCTTCTCCCTTCTCCTCCACCCCCACTTCTAATTCCCATCATCATCATCAACCAGGAACCTTCTACATACACACCTCAAAGTAAGTGTACTTTACTTGATTTTTTTTTTACTTTGTATGTACTTTTCGGTGAGTTGGAACCAATTACCCAATATCCCATTGAAACAATGGATTCGGTTAACGAATGACCTCTGGAACGAATTGTGTTCGTTAACCGAGGGACCACTGTATTTCATTATATAATATTTTTAAACTAACTGGAGTTTCAAAGTACTGTACTATACTGTACTGTATAAACTTTTTTTTACTCTTACAAGGATCTTCCCTAATACAGCACCTACTGGCCCAAATAAAGAGCAACACGGATTCTTCATGTGACCTTAAGACTCTCTACCCCAGCTTATTTCACCTGAAGATTAACCACCCTAAAGCCTAAAGGTAATACTAACCTAACCTCATCCTCCCAAATAGTTTTAATGTGGTTAATCATTAGGTGAAATAAGCTGGGATGGAGATTCTTCAGGTAATGAAATTCTTCCTTCACCCTCATGATAACCATTTGGTTATCCCTGTTACTTTAGACAACCAAATATCACAAACTGGCAACATGTTCATCACCATAGACCTAACCAATGTGTTCACATTAAATTTGACCAAAAATTCCATTTTCAGAGTATTTAATTAGAATATATGAGGGGTAAAAAAAAAAAAAAATTCTAAAACTTAGCAATACCTGTACATTCCACCTGTCATTCTAGAGCAAAACAACTCAGATAGAAGTTCCTCCACAGACCACAATTTCTAAGGGATCTTCTATCTAACCAGCCACTTCTCACATCTAGTTCACTGTATTCTCATACATCTGATCCCACTTAACTCATTCACAGGTACAGTACAGTCAGCTCTCTACCTTTCTGTGACTGTTGTTTCATGAGTCAGTGATATTTCAGGATTATCTCTGCCTTTACATTACCTTTATTACATTTTATGATTCTGGACTTACCTCTGAAATACATATTTTTACTGATTGATTATTTTAAACAAACACAGCTAACCTTAATTCACATAGGTACTCTTCTACTTAAGAACGTTCAACTTACAAACTTTCAGAGATACAAACATCATCACTGAGGGGGTTACCTGCCAGAACAGGTGTTTAATGTGGATGAGACTGGATTATTTCGAAGAAAAATCCAGATAGAACAAACATTACTTAAGAGGAGAAGAGTGAGCCAGGTTTTAAGGCTGTATTAAAGGGTATAGGTGTACAGCTCCTCCCCGACTTACAACCTACTCGACTTACGACCACCCGCACTTACGACCTGCCTCAGTCGTACCAAAATTTTGTCAAATTACGTATTTTTCGAGTCCCAACGTCAGTACACAGAGAAAATTTTCGTTTGTAATTCACTTTAAAATGGCTGGCAAGCTTAAAAGTGAGAGTTTTGTGGTGCTGAGAAAAAAAGAGACACCCATTTTAGATTTTTTATGTATTATTTAAGCATTTTTGACTTACGACCATTTCAACTTACGACCTGGATTTGGGTCCCTAACCCCATCGTAAGTCGGGGAGGAGCTGTACTAAATATCCGTAATCTTTTAATTTTTTACAATATGTTTGGTACCTACAAGAGTAAAGTTGGACTTACAAACAAGCCTCAGGAACGTAACTCGTTCGTAAGTAGAGGAGCACCTGTATACTGTACTGTACATATCGGGTATCTCTCTAAACAAAATATAAAATGTATAGGATATAAAGGACAACCTTGTACAATAAAAAACATCGCACAAATATTACCTTAGTTTACTGCGTCGAAAGAAAATAGCAAGACCTTCTGTAATTTCCCCTCCTTTTGCATCATAGAAACCATCAAAGCCTCTATCCATTAGAATTGGCCTAATATCACGTAAAAACACTTTCTCGTCTACTTCTTGCAAGCATATTAGATCACCATTGTAACCTGTAAATGTGAATATTAAAGAAGATTAGAAATAGAAAAATTATAATTGACGGAAGACATTGTATTAGTAGGAAGCATTACAGCTATTACCTTGGTTATTCCCAGAGCTGTTATAACAGCTGTTGAAATATGGAAGAGAGTCACTTGTTCATCTGATGCTATCAAACCACCTCTGTATTGCATATAAGAGGTGTAAAGAGCAAGAGACATGCCTTGGCACCTAATAGATACTCAATACCTCCCTCACCACCACAGTAGCCACCTATGTATGAAGGGAAGGCCAGAGAGGTAGTCTAGTCTGAGCATCATAGTGGATAATTACAAAGTTTAATTAATCAAACCCAAATTCCCACCGACAGAAGATGTCTCATCAGTTCACAACAGAACTCCTGATGTGATACCTGAGGATAGTAACATCTGACAACATTCAAATTACAGATTGAATTTTTAGTGTAGCCAAACTTCTTAATCAGCATAAATATCAAGGGGCCTACTGCACACCCTGTACACACTTAGTTTTTATGGTAAAACTTAAGGTTAAACAACTTCAAGCAATCCTAATCTCTACAACAAAATAAAAGACAGCAACACAGATGATAAGATAACTTAATAATGTATCCAGAACGTGCATCAATAGGTGCTCATGAATCATGCATATTAAAGAGAAGAAAAAAAAAAAAAAAACACCTAAAGAATGCTGTAATGTACTAAAATTCACCTTAAATGTTAAAATAGCTTTCAATGGAAAAGAATAAAGTCCTTACCAATGATTTCTTTAATAAGTAACAGCTTGCGATAGTCCATATTAAGTGCATGCTTTGGACACGATGGGAATAATTCTTCCCGAGCATAATTTGAATTTGTATAGACCTCAGCTAAGATATTGTATGAGATCACACGAAGGCTGTAAAAGAAATGAAAACAGTGTAAGAGGTTGTGAATATCAAAAAGAATATTAAATTAGTGATGGTAAAAGCCACTACACTACAGAAGGGAACATCCTACCCGTGTGCTAAAATATGTGCATAAAACTAAATCTGTGTAATATATTGTACAGTACAGTGCAGTACTGTACTGTATGATGAGTGTAAGAAACAGAGCGATGATGAGAAAAATAATACTGTAGAAGAAACAATGTAGAATGATAATAATTGAATGATAACTATTAATTTAAACTTCCATACCCTAAAAGTGAAATTTTTACTTTACTACAAATTTCTTTAGTAACCCTGGATTGTTAAAATAGCATGTGACATTGAATCTGAAAGATAAATATCATAAAATATTTACAATTACCCGTAAATGTTTCTCACCACATGCATGCACGCACACACACACACACACACACACAATTTTCTTTTACACTTTCTTCAGTTTGCCATCTATCACAACCCCAGTGTCTCCCTTAACCTTACCCTAAAAGACATAGAGCTGGACAACAGTGATACTGTACTGTATACTGCTATGGCTAGCTTTAAGTAGGTTAGACTTCATGAAATACTCTTTAGGTGTTCCCAAATACTCAGTCATGGCTGAAGAACAAAATCCTGGGCGAAAGGGACCAACAGAAACACTTAGGTAAATCTACCTTATTTACATATGATTTACAAAAAAAAAAAAGTACAAGACATAATACAAATGTACTTCCTACCTATTTGGGAGATCAGCATAAGAACCACTGACTCCCCAGCTAAGATTCCCTAGGACAGGAAGGACAAACCTTAGCCACATGGTTCAGACAGAAGAGAGAAGTAGAGACAGACATGTCTACAGGCCAGGGTCAGGAGAAAGACAGAGTGTCCTGGTATAGAACTGAGGCAGGAGGAGGTTCCTTGGCTACGACCTAGCTGCTCAGTAAGCTCCGCCCATCAGCGCATGCTAGTTAAACATATACTACAAGGCAAGGTTTTAAGGAGGAGCAACTGGCTTTTACTTAGAATGGTGATTGCATATTTGTCCGATTTGTCATTTTTTTTTTTATGTGGGGTTATCTAACTAAGAGATTCTGCAAGTTTGACTAACATTCATCAACAAGTTTTTGAGAAAAAATAAAATGTTATGAAAAAATAAAAAATATTACCTATCTCTGTTTATGATTTTTGCCAGATATTCTTGAAAATTGGTCACTGTAATAACCAAACCCATAGCTACAATTAGTGCCATCAACATTTGTAATACTGTACATGTATCTTAATTTTTTGCTCTGTAAACAAATTGGCAAAATTGCAAAAATGAGTTTGGGTCAAACTGTGGAAATAGTTTTTTTTATTCCATTATCCATCATTATATGACAGTTTTAACCCTCTCACACATGAGATAAGTTTTAAGTTTTCCAGTTCCAAGATCACATCTCTGAGGTCCCTAGGGCAGGCGATACAGCACAAGGGGAATATTGTTTTTATTTATCAATTTCCCCAAAACTTGTTTTTAATGGCATAAACCATATATCTTTGGCTTCGTAACTGATTGCTCTCCAACATAAGCAAAATAAAACAATGAATAATACAAGTACAGTACAGTACAGTACAGTGGTCCCTCGGTTAACAAACGGTTCAATTAACGAAATTTCGGTTAACGAATTACCTCCCTTAAGGATCTTCAATTCGGTTAACGAACAAACCTTCGGTTAACAAACAAACCTTCGATTAACAAAATCCTTACGACAAACACGTTTTGTTGTGAGCATCAGCTGATCAGCTGATGAGCTAGTCTGCCAATACAGTAATCTGTTCTATGATCACATTTGTTTCCAGTGGAGTAATATCAAGAAAGTTGTGCTCTTTAATATTTTTGCATTTTTTATATTAAAATTATTAGTCATTTTAAAATTTAGTTAACATATTGATAATATATGCAGTACAGGGAACTAGTTTTTTGTGCGCCCATCAGCCGCTTGACTCACCCACCAAGTGTCAGTTTGGCTTTGTTTACAATGGAGTGAACATCGATTTTGTTGGTGTCTTGAATATTTTTGCATTTTACATTAAAATTATTGGTCATTCTGTAATTTAGTTAACATATTTATAATATATAGCGCAGTGCAGTGTTGATTTAAATGAAATAATCTTGAATTACACCTAGTGAACTTTAAATTTTATTGGTGAAATGACTGCATCAAGCAAGGGGCCCACTGAAAGGTGATTTCTCCTCCATCCCCACTTCCTTCTCTTATCCCTTCTCCTCCATCCCCACTTCTAATTCCCACCATCATCATCAACCAGGAACCTTCTACATACACACCTCAAAGTAAGTGTACTTTACCGCATCTTTTTATTACTTTGTATGTACTTTTCTGTGAGCTGGAACCAATTACCCAATATTCCATTGAAACAATGGATTTGGTTTAAAAAAATTTCGGTTAACGAACGACTCTGTGGAACGAATTGTGTTCGTTAACCGAGAGACCACTGTATAGTTATTTTTCGTCACTTCTAATAAGCATGAGAAAACAATACAGTACACACCAATACGTTCTCAGCCTCCTACCTAAAAAGTGTCTGAGCCAACTATGCACTGCTAGAAGCAGAATTTTATGACCTTTCCAATTCAGTAATCAGATTTTTTATACGACCAATAGTTTATGAAAAAATAGCAAAAAAATACGATTATCAAATGGTGATTTTTTTTTTTTGTGCCTATGTTTCATATCGATATAAAGTACATTGTACCTTATAACCAACACTATAACAAAGAGAATGGTACTGAAAAAATTCATGTATGTCTAGAAAATCATCCTCTTTCAGAGACTTTTTTTGAGACATTGTCACTATAACGAGGTTGTATAGCCTGATATGGTAACAGCTTTTGAACACTAAACACTTTCCCTGTAAGTATGAAAAAAATATTACATTACACAACCACACTTTACTTCTCTAACACTAAAAAAATTATTTCAGGGAGTAGGGTAAGCGCTGTAATCCAGGAGTTGAGGCAGCCTGCACAGAGTTCTGGAAATTTAAATAGACGCGGCTCACACTGACGGTCTGACTGCTGAGATAATACTGTGTATTTATCATTAGTTTTCCCTTCTTATGGGCCTCAAGAGTTGCCAATTAATTTATTTGTTAGAACTTACTTGCTATGACAAATCAAAATTTGACACAATTCTGTTGAAAACTTAATTTTTGGCAAATTTTTTAAAGTTTGGTCACTCAATTTGCATAACTGCGAAGTTGGACTCATCATGAATATGACGCAAATCGCGTCAACATTCGCGAGAGGGTTAATGGTATGAAATTCTCCCCTATTATCCTTCTTTATGTACATATGCTTATGTTTCAAATTGGTTGATAAATAAGGGTGGAGATAATTTTCAAATGATCATAACTTAGGTTTTGAGATATGGACCGTTTTCTGTGGCAGCAGCAAGGCAGCACACGTCCACTTAGGAGTAGCTATGGAATATTATTAGTGTCACCATCTAACATTCTGGCTGGTGTCTGCACGTGCATAAATACAGTCATTTCTTATGAATTTTAAAAAAAATAAAAAAATAAATCGTCTATGTATGTGTATAGTAATGTATATAATAATACCTAAACAGAAAACGGAGGGGGAGGGGCAAGGAGCATACTGTATACAGTAGAACGTCGATATAACACGAGATATGTTCCAAGAGATATCGCTTTAAACCGAATTCACACTAAATCGAAGTGTTGTTTCAATGGAATAATTTAGTTTGGTACTTGAGAAAAACATAAAATACTAAAAAGACTGACAATCTACCCAGATGCACCTCAACCCATCTCCTAGAATTTTTTTTTTTTTGAAGTATTATGTTAAAACAAACACTCAAAAATCAACACAGCTAAAATTAAGGGAAGCGAAATGGTCTGTTTACTGGCTGAGAAGATGGGAGGGAGGGAGGGAGGTGAGGTGATATGTTTGACAGTTGATGCCAAGGTCTAGTGCTTATTTATTTATCTGTCCTTAAGAGTGACTTTAAGTTTTTCTCTTATAAAATGTCACTAAACTGACATGGGAGAATATAATCAACATTGCTGGAATTCTTAAAAGATGGTGATTAATTTGAATGTAAATATGCCATAGCTCGCATTAGACACAAATTTTAGTTCTAATTTAAGAATTTTATTACAAAGAGCAAAAAATTTTTCTCTTGTGCAAATTATATGACGTTTATATTCAAATTATTCGCTGTCTTGCAAGGATTCTAGCAATAAAAATTATATTCTAACTTTAGTCTGTGACATTTTATAAGATAAAAACTTTGAGCCTCAAACACCAAACCCTGGCTGGGAAGATGGGGGGAGGGGGGAAAGTGACAGTGACATGTTTGACAGTTGGGGCCGAAGGTCTAGTGAAACATTTATTTGTTTATTTATGTCCTTTAGATTGAGTTTATGTTTTTTGCTTATAAAATGTCACAGAAGTGACTGGGGAGAATATAATTTACATTGCTGGAATTCTTATAAGATAGTGATTAATTTGAATATAAACATGCTATAGTTTGCACTAGACAAAAATTTTAGTAATCATTTAGTACATTATTTTGAGTACATGTACAGTACAGCTTTACCCTTAGGACAGTGTAGCGTGCCCAGAGAAACATTAGGCGCAAAATTTTAAATATGACGCGCCAGATTGACTCGTGCAAAATAGGAAAGATTCGTTTTAAATTAAAACATTGTCCTTAATTGTGGGTGTCGCTTTAAATCAATAATCTTAAATTGAATCACTTTAAATCGACGTTCTACTGTATATCTTATTTTTAATGATTATTTTGACTAGGTAAAAATCATCAGATAACATTCATCTATTGACAGAAAACAGAAAAGATGTCAAGGTATACTCTGGTATTTTTATCTCATATTGTGAAAAATTTAATATTTTTGTTATTCTCAAGTGTCGTCCAACCTGAATGGGAGAAGGCAGGACTATCTATGAAAGCGCAATAAGTAATTAAATATGAGCTAAAATACATGGTATAAAAATTACTATGCAAGTAACAACAAATGGGCAGAACACAAAATGGCTACCTGGCAACTCAAGCGGCCGCACCCATGACTTAGAAACAAGGTCCGCACCTTTGACATCCGGTGGATGACGAAATCAACCACGTAGTCTGAAGCACAGTGGGCCACACGGTATGACGCAATAATACGTATAGGAAAACTCCCATAGTCTGAATAGAGAGGAAGCTTGGCTCATAGATAATACAGATATATAAATATGAATAATAAGCACAATACCATGACACATATTTTAAAACACTTTCTTTTATTCTCTGATTTTCTTTTGCCACAATATTTCTGTTCACCACTTTTCTTACCTACACCAAACACAGTAATGATCACACACACACACTACAGTATATGTAGCTCCCCTTATTGAATGTACATCTGTGTCAAATGTTAATTTTTTTCCACCAACAAATAGTTTAACAACCCTTTATCTTCATCAATGTCAAGCTTCCATACAAAACTGCACAGTATACTAACAATTTTCATAATTTTAAACCATGTATATATCTCCTACAATCAATCCTGCCTTAGAACACAATTTCATCAGTTTCTCCCCATATCCATTCAATCCTAGCACTCCTATTTACCTAAAATCTCATCTATTTCTATGTAACTTTCTCTCACTTTAAATCTACTATATATTACTATCAAGCTATCTCTCACACTGGAGCTTTCAATGTAGTTATTCAGGCTTTCCTAACCTCTTCTTGCCTACCCATATTAATACAATACAATACAGCACAATAAGTAAAAATCACATTCCAAATTTCTCTCCAACAATTATATGCTTAAAATACAGTACGTACATAAAATTATAATACAGTACAGTATACATATAAAACCCAATACTGTACTGTACATGTACAGTATTATAAATTTGAATTCTGTTTATTGACCAATACGACAGTATATTCAGGAGACAAAACAGGTCTTACAGTGTCGGGGTCAACAACACCACCAATGACACATGACAAGAAGGCAAATACTGTACTGTATAGTTAGTACATACATAAGGTGGACATGCAAGGTAATTCTTAAAATATTATGCATAAAATGAATACCCAGTATGTATAGTAATTTAGATCAGAAGGACTTTTATTTCCATATTATTCAAACAGTTCCTGAAGAAAAAAATTCAGTCTATGCTCATACTTAGAAAAAGTGTTATAATGTAAAATGAAAACTAATGTCACCCCGAGTTATTGAGCTTCACCTGTTGTCTCCAACTATTTCCTTTGTAAACTGTTGTCTCTTTTGGAAGGGACATTCTTCAGGGCCAGCAGACACCACCACCGGGGACACCACCTCTATGTCCTCCCCCCTGCGCTCTCCCACACAGGGAGTCACAACAACCTGTTAAGGTGTGAGAAAAGAATAAAAAGCTTTTTAGGGGTTACTATTCATTCTTACAGTTTCTAATTATAATCTTTATTCCATTGCTTTATCCAGTATCACAATGTCGTATTCAATATCTATGATTGGCGTAAAGTGTTTCCTCTTCAAGCTGTAATATTTATGCTATAAAATTAAATATTGATTCACAAGAGACACATACACCAGAGAACAAGTGATACAATGTACAGTACAGTATTACATACAGCACAGTAAATGAGATCATAGTACTTTAACACATTAACCAAGCAGTCCCACAAATGTTTACAGAAAAAATAGAAATCACAGGATAAGGGAAGATAATTTTGCCACCATTATAATTGTGACTTGGCTATACTACAGGTGTCATGAACAGTACAGTACTGTGTAGTATTAGGATAACCCATGTAAAATAAGATGTATACAGTATAAAGCAATTATTCATTTTATATTTACTTTTTACTGTAATATAAAAGGGTCATACTGGAACACAGTAACACATATTAATCAGCAACATGAGGAAAGTTTTATTACTTCATGAAAAAATAAATAAAAATTGGCAGAAAAAAAATATTCTTCATATTATTTTTACATTTTCTTTCCTGAACATACTGGTAATGCACAACTACGCATTAAATCATCATAGCTCCAATGTTTACATTATAGATGTTTTGTTTTATCCACAGGCTACATGTAGCTACAGTACTGTACTGCAAAATAATGTAACCATGAATAATTGTGTCAAGCAGGAGCATCCCGACATAAAACCATGTTGGCAGTCCTTTACAAGGTTGTTTCATAGTACTATACAATATACAGCCACTCCTCGACTTACGACCACCCGGACATACGACCGCCCCAGTCGTACCAATTTTTTTCAAATTACGTATTTTCGAGTCCCGACGTTAGTGATTGCACTGTGTACTGACAAATTTTTTGTTTGTTATTCCCTTTAAAATGGCTGGCAAGCTTAAAAGTGAGAGTTTTGTGGTGCTGAGAAGAAAAAGAGACACCCATATTAGATTTTCTATGTATTATCTTCGCATTTTCAACTTACGACCTGGAATTGGGTCCCTAACCCCGTCGTAAGTCGAGGAGTGGCTGTATATGTTCCATCATGGTCTCTCTTATAATGCTCTCTATTACTTTACACACTATGCTGGTCAGGCTGACTGGTCTATAATTATTCATAAAGTGACAATCGCCCTTCATGAATATAGTACAGTACTCACATCAGCCATTTTCCAATCACTGGGGACCTCTTGTTAGTGACATATTGTACTATATTTGTAAGGGATCCTTGAGTTTGCTGACCCAATGTTATCAATATTTAATAATGCAGTACAGTAAACTGGAGATAGTTAGCACCAGAAAGGGGTCCAACTAATTACCCAAATGAACCCAAATGTAGCCAAATGTTGCTGCAATGAAGTCAAATAATGGTCCTACATGAATAAATCGGACTGCCAATCACTTCTCGACTAGTATTTGGTGTCACAAAGTCACAAAAAATTGGTAAACTTAATTTAATCTGAGTTAATAGATCGAGCGCATGTACCTAACCTTACCTTACCTAACTTAACCTAACCTAACCTAACCTCGACTAGTATTTGGTGTCACGAAGTCACAAAAAATTGGTAAACTTAATTTAATCTGAGTTAATAGATCAAGTGCATGTACCTAACCTAACCTAACCTAACCTAACCTAACCTAACCTAACCTAACCTAACCTAACACAACACAACACAACTCAGATTAAATTAAGTTTACCAATTTTTTTGACTTTATGACACCAAATAATAATCGAGAAGTGATTCACAGCCCGAATTACGCTTGTACGACCATTATTTGACTTCATTGCGGCTACATTTGGCTACATTTGGGTAATTAGTCGGACAGAAATTACAGAAATTGAACAATTCCTTCTGGTGGTAGTGCTGTTCTCAGACATTACCCCAAATATTCAACGTTTACTGGTATCACTAATGAGATATATATATATATATATATATATATATATATATATATATATATATATATATATATATATATATATATTTGTTTTAAATATTGGTAGTTACTGTACCTTCAATACCCTTCCAACATCTTCTTTTGTTGGGGTGCAGGTGAATCCTTCTCCTAACTCAATCCATTTTAAGTCTTCAATTATACGTTTACTCCGAGATACCTTGTCAGCATCAAACCTTTTTACACTCTTATACCACTTAAAAAAACAATCTTCCTTGTTGGCAAATAGAACCTCAAGTTTTTTCAGGTTAACTAAAAATCCTGCCACAATGACCTTAGGAAACTCTGCCACTTCAACGATGGGAGGATTAACGTCGATACAATAGTGCTCTTCTCCGATAACCAAATTGTGCTTTGAGCCGTTAAGAACAAATGCTTCATGGCAAGTCAGGTCATTCTGGGTACAAGCATTATCATCATAATTAAAGGATATCATTTTTACTGGAAGTTCATCCATAACAAAATTTTCCCTTTTTCTGTTTTTGTAATAAACAGCTCCTTGAATTTTTCCACTAATTTTTTCCAACACATCAGTCAAGTGTTCTTGTGGAGACCGTTGGAGATTGAAGATCTGATCAAGTTTCAATTCATCATTTCTATACCAAAATGATATCCCAATGGGTAATGTTTCACTTTCATGAGTCACTAGAACTTTCTTGGAAGAATCATCACAAATTCTGCTGAACTTTGTCATAAACCTGAAGCGTTGAAACAAACCCCATTTGATCTGACATAATAGTCTCTTCTGGTAAATCATTTTCATAAATTTTGATTTCTTTGATACTTTCTTCGGTGAATTTATAGTATCAAACAGGTCTTTATTTCCACTTGACCTGCACGATCACTTAGTGTGGCGAAGAGGATAAAGGTAGTGTTAAGAGATTGCTAATGGTTTGTCATTTCGGCCAACACCTATAAACTGTAAGTAAATTTTAAAACCCTTAAAACGTTTCTATCAAAAGATATGTTGTTAATTCTTGATGTATAAGTCAAATTTCCTTTTTTCACCTTCAACACCAGTGACAGTCTTGAGGCCACAACTAATTACTCACAGGGCAAGGCTCATCGTCACGCCAAACCCGCCAAAACCTCGCGCCAAAGAAAAATTTTACTCCAATTTCCGGGATTTCCACTTCCATAGATAGTCTAATCATTATCACTATTATTATTATTATTATTTTCATTTGTATTAAGAAATGACACTACTCCAGATAATTGTAACGTCAGAAATTTTTTGAAAAGCACCAGGTGTAAGCTCCCTTTTGTCCAAACATGACCACACTGTTCATGTACTTTGAAGAGACTGTATATGCCACCAGGACTGACCATTACTTGCCAGCAGTGTATAACAGAGAGCAGAATATCCATTTGGTGAGCTGACAAAGGTAAGCAGGTAAAAAATGGTCACCCCCCTACTTCTTTTTAGTTGTCTCATACGGCAAAAAGCTATATATTGACTTTAATAATAATAAAATTAATCAGAATAAAATGACTAGTAAGCTGACAAGTGGCAAAATAATAAATTAATATCTCCAAAATCTATGAAAACCTGGCGGGCTGGCTAGTTAATGTACTTCGCCCTATAGAGAAATAACCATCAACCGGCGGGTCTGTGTTGTGTACAAATAAAAAAAACCTTATGTTATTAGACTAAATATCTTAACAATAAATATAGGTACTGATATATGCATCGTTATTATATCAAAATATCATTGCCAAGTATGAAGGCTGTAAACCGATATTTACTATCCTAAAAAAAATCATAAATATCTCCCTCCGTATTCAGGCCGATCATACATATTACCTAAGTTCCGTTTTCTGTTCTCACAATCATTATATATAAGAAATGACGCAAATTTTACAGTAAATATGATATTTATGAAGAAACGCTGCATCTGCCAACCTCAATCCCCAGAAGTCAGAGCTCCTTAAGGTTAAGAGTGTACTGACAAACTTCAAATAAAGAAACAAAAAAGAAATGCAAGATAATAATAAAAAATCGAAAATAATATCTTCTGTACTTAATTATTTGGAGTTTCGTGGGGAGTCTTGCTTCAATATGTCATACGTGGTAACTACCTGACGTCAATCCAAATGTATCTTTCCAATAAATATAGGTACTAATAGTGGCTGGAAGTGGCGAAAAGTTTTATAAAGAAACGATAATTTTGAGGATCCTGGTAACACTTGGTAAAGGCGGGCCAAGCCAAGAGACAGCCCGGGAGTTACGGTCTTCATGGTGTAGTAGAGGCAGCAGTGGTAGTGAGTTTGGACCCAGCATAAAGCTTACTACGGCTGTCATGACTTCAGCCACCGTCGAGGATCTGTTCATAAACCCGAGAATAATCACACGGGCAAAAATAAGTATGTAGGGCCCAGTATGGGACAAATTTGGCAGGTAGATAAAACTTTTAACTTCTTATCCACTGGTAGACGTGTTAATATATGGGGTTTTGCTGCTATGGAAATTTATTGTCGCCACTTTTATAGTTTATCGAACAGTAATTAATAAGATTTGTGTGGTGAAGTTGGAAGGTTTCAACCTCATATGTACTTGCTAAATATTTGACCCTAAATGTAAATGGTACTAAAAGAATGTGACATTTGGGCCGGATCAGACTGTAAATGGCATACAGCTGGGTATTGTTTTTTTCGACTATATACCTTACCTAATCTAACCAAACGAGCTAGTTTGGATGATAAAATCGCTGTAAAGTTGCTGATTCGGCCAATATGCCTCAGTATTTTAGAAATTAGTTTATCCTTCTGTATTTTGTTATGATTTAATTGAATTTAACATTTATTTCCGGGGAAAGTACCTGTTTTAGAGCCCTCACCCCCCCCCCTCCACACACACACACAAAAAAAAGTATGGAAAACTTTAAAATTCATTTCTGACATTTTTATTCTTTGCCCTTTGGTTGAAATGGGGTTAGAAATACTCCAAATAAGGATATCTAAAGGTTGAGGATGGTTAAAACAGTCGGCCATGTATTGGCCGAAACTGCAATATAATATCAAAATCGTTCAAGGGCTGTTGAGTTGTGCCACCTGGTTCACACACACAGGTGAGCGTCCCTTACCTGTCATTGAGGCATGTCATGTCGCTTCCTGACCTGACTCAAGGTTAGATTAGGTTTGGTTAAATTACGTTAGGTTAGTTTAGGTAAGGTAAGTTATATAGTCGATAAAATCAATAGTATAGTGGATATAGTTACGGCAGCTATATGCCAAAAGGTAATCCTGGGGCAGATGTCTAACACCAGAATGCGTTGTTTGATTTCATTCACATTTTTCACATGTTCTGTGGATGATTGTAAGTACAGTACTGCAATAAAAAGGATCCAACAATGTACAGAACCTAATAGGACCTGACTAACCAACCAAAGAAACCTACCTAACCTTACCTAACTTTGTACCCGGGGGCTCAACCTCCCAGATTCCTGCCATATTAAACAGAAAGTACTTACTTTAATATCTGGTACCAATGAAAGCAACTTTGTTGAAGCATCATGGTGTAATTTTACATTTTTGTGGACATGAGAGTAGACGATAACACTCGCTCAATGGCAGTTTTTTTTAATATTTACAGGAAATAATTAATTTCTTCGTGTACAAAGCATGTAAAGACATCAATTTAGTGTCATAGGATCAGCTTTTCACTGTTTTACCCTGTAATTTCCCCCATCCTTCATGCCCTGCCCACTACAGGTGATTTATGATCGTAGATAGAGAAAATTAAAAAATAAAAAGTTATGAACGAAATTAAAAAGTTGTCATATAATTTTTATTCCTTGCCTATTATCTAAAGAATATTTATGGAAAAAATGAGCTAAATTGAACAACTCCTGTTGGTGTTAGTCATCTGATGCAGTACCGGGTATTACCCACCAAAAATCACACAGGATATAAATACGGCAGCCGTATTGATGGACTGTACTGTTAATTGTATGGTTAGGTTAGGTTAGTCAGAAAGAAGGCCATCTGAGTATAGTACTGGAACTATCATTGTATAGTCTGCCCACTACACGTGTGCATTATGATTAGGCTGCCATACCAATAGACATTGATTTTTCACATACATCTGTATCCTGTGCCAAAAAACAAATAACCCCGATGTATAAAACTGTTGGCTTATTTTACCAGATGACTCAACTCAATAGCCCTTGAGCTATTTTAGTCTCCTAACTGGAGTCCTGTACTGTAATTATTGATTTAATTATGGTACTATATTGTACAGGGCACTTATCAAGTAGAATTTCAGGGAAAATTCTTTGAATAATTTAGCACTTTTTTCCCCTTTTTTTTATGATGCTGTAACGCATTCAACAAAAAACAGAACTTGTTATATGAAGTGATATTGTGTTTATACTTTTCAAGGGGGCTATGTGTCATTGTGCAGTATCTTACGGGCATCACAGAGCGAGCTCCAGCAAAAATTAGCTTTAACGGCTGCAGATGTGGAACAACTGACCACTGCAGCAGCTAACTATATACTTCCCCAAAAATTATCAGGTATGTTTCAGAAATAGTCCTGCATGTCGACTTAATCCTCATGTACAGTTCCATTCAGAAGTTTGTGATACACTGGTGGTGGAGGGTGCATAGCCCGTTACACTATTCCTGGACAGAAGGTCACTACACTAAACTCCCACTAACACACACAGTGGAACTGGCAACGGAGCAGTTTGAAACTTTGATTCTAATGAAGATTCGTCAAAAAGGGATGGAAAGGATATTAGTGTGAAGATCGGACAACGTTACTGTTGATGGATGATGAAGATATGATAATATCCTGCTCACGAGAAGAAGAAAACTATATTGATAGGAGTACCCATTCCAATATCAGAATACAATGGGAAAATTAGTTTCAAATGAACACTATAAGAAGTAGTTAAAAGATGAGGATCATGATGTCAAAAACATTAAGATGATAAACATTTATTATGTCCACCAGAGTACTGTAAGTCGATTGTGGGAGAGGCAGAGGGGAGGAGCTGTGAGTGAGGTGCAGGGCTGGGATTTCCTCCTCCCTACTCAACCCTCCCTACTCAACCAAGCTGTGAGTCGAGTTATTTTTATTTTAGAACTCGTATTTTCAGGTAAATATACTGTACGTAATTTAATTTTAATTTAATTTTATTTTTTACTCCTACATGCACACACACAATTGTCCCCCTTCTGGGCGAAGCTGTGAGTTGCATTACTGTTTTTTTTTCATCTCGTATTTTCATGTACCGGTAGATATATGTAATTATTTTATTTGTTTATTTATATTATTTTTTTTTTTACCGGTTACATGCACACACAATCGTTCATATGGGGTCACATGTGTTACGACATAACAAAATTGTGTCATCGTATCTCGGAATATTGCGAGTTATTGCATGTTACTTTTTTATAATGATAATCCCAGAAAAGCGTTCGGGTCGCAGTCATCGTAAAACTGATCTTTGGCCATAGTATACAGTGAACCCTCGCTTTACACGGTCAATTGAACCCACGGAGGCCCACGTAAAGCGAGAAACGCGTAAAGTGAACAACATAACATATGGGATTAATTGAAATAGAGACCGGGCCGACCATGAAACTCCACTTTTTCAGACACAACACCTACCATACGTTGTAGTAAAAATAACTTCGTAATTTTATGATGGTATGCACACACAATTACTAATTAAGAGAAATATCAATAATATTAGGTTTTTTAACACTTACACTAGTAGAAAAGATGGCTGAGCACACGGGGATGGGGGGTTGGTTCCGAGGCAGAGGGCAGATTATTGGCCCTCACCTGTATCACTTGTATCAATTGTATCACTATCCACCACAGAGGCTTGCAGGGCCTCTTTGTCAAACCCCTCAAAGTCCATATAAGTCCATATCCTCACTATCACTGACTTGGGCCGGCTGTGGTGGGTGGCGGGTGAAGAACTCGGTAATGTTTTGATGACTTGGCGACCTTGTGTGCACCCTGCCCGCGCCGCTCTCCTCGTAAAAGAGTACATGCACTGCGTAAAGTGAGCATTCCGGGTCTGGCAGGGTACCGCGTAAACGTGGAAACGCTTAAAAAAAAAAACTCGTAAAGCGGGGTTATACTGTAGTGGTAAAAGGTGTTCATTTTTTTTTACATCATAAAACTCGTCGAGCATATATTGATCCATCGTATATCAATTTCGCAGGCAAAATGAGCAAGGTGTAATGTGTATGAAAAAGTTAATCCAGGGATGGTAGTTCACGATCTCTTTTAGACAACACTTTATAAACAAATCTATAAATTTTCACTAGTTCCAGAGTGTCAGGTTACTCATTGACAGTCGAGAGTGGTGCTGGAACAGGCCTATTGCTTAGGTATTTGTGTTTCAAACATCAAAATGTAAGCTGTATTCAATTAAATATATACTACATTGTACAGCTTTTATCATTTATTGTGTGTGGATAGGGCAAGAGGTAGTTGTCTTACTATTTCCCTCTGATAATAATTTATTGTTATTAGATACATGAATACAAATAATGGGAATATGTTCTTATGTAATAAACATTTTATATATTATATCATAATCATTATCACCCGTTAATTATTCCTTACAGCGGGAAAGACAAACAAGAAGGTTAGTGTGGGTTAGTGTCCATCATGCAACTCACAATAAGCAAAGAACTACCGGTATACAACCTCCAACAGCCACTCACAATAGCCTGAAAAGATTATAAACATACATTTTCCTCCTCTACATATTGTGTGTATTAATTGTAGTCTGCATATTATTGGTTACCAATGCCTATTTAACATTACTAAACACTCGCACTTTAGGACAAGTGAAATCCATTTTCCAGATCATTAAATACCTCGTCCAGCCTCCCCCCATTCTCAATAACTGCATGCAACCTATCTGGCATAGAAGACACAAGGTCACGAATAATCTCCGGCCCATGCCTGCACAGTTCCCACTGGGTGTGGACGTGGCTCAGTAGTTGATGGCTGGTCCTCTTGTCTGCTGGTTCTCAGGTGTAGCGACCTGCTGTCCAGGAAGGGTGCAACAGGCTAGGCACTCTCTACTGCCAGTGTATCGCAAACTTCTGAATAGAACTGTACATGAGCTTTAGGTTTTTGTAGCTGTGTATGCTTGCAGTATTCACTTTTAACCACTTTCTTAAAACTATACTGTCCCTGTACTGCCAATCGGCATACTCTTACAAATCCATATTCAATTAACTCACTTGTATCGTCCTCTTTTAATTCTTTCCATAGAGGATTGCTGATTTGCCAGTCTTTCAGAACTGTTGTCACTACAGCCACTGCTGTATCCATAATACTGTTACGACCCTTCTCCTTTCACCGCTTACCCAGCTTTCACCACTGGTTACCAGCGGCTAAGGTCGTATGTACAGAGCAGTAGATATCTCGCAAGAGTTGTCGAATTACCACTGGCTGTCCCGCCAGTCTCCGGTAATTTCCCGACAATTGGTGTCGGTGTACAGACAAACAACAGGCAGGTAGATTTCTACCAGGTCACAGAAACACATTTGTGCACTGTAGTCTTCTTTAATACAGTACTGTAAACAGTAATTCTTCACAACACTGTTAACAGGGTAATGTCTTCACAGCTTAACTCCGCACTTCAAATATACAGTGGTCCCTCGGTTAACAAACGGTTCGATTAACGAAATTTCGGTTAACGAATTAGCTCCCATAAGGATCTTCAATTCGGTTAACGAACAAAACTTTGATTAACGAAATCCTTACGACAAACACGTTTTGTTGTGAGTATCAACTGATCGGCTAGTCCGCCAATACAGTAATCTGTTCTATGTTTACATTCGTTTCCAGTGGAGTGTATATCAAGAAGGTTGTGTTCTTGAATATTTTTTTGCATTTTTTATATTAAAATTATTGGTCATTCATAAATTTAGCCACCCAAGCTCTGTCTACATAAAGTTTTTCAACTAATATTTTTGGCTTGATATATGTAACTTTATTCATTTATTGAAACTCATTTACATGCACACACTGTCCTAAGGGCAAAGCTGTACTGTATATGTACTCAAAATAATGTACAAAATGATTACTAAAATTTTTGTCTAGTGCAAATTATATTCTCCCCGGTCACTTCTATGACATTTTATAAGCAAAAAACAAAAACTCAATCTAAAGGACATAAATAAACAAACATGTCACTGTCACCTCCCCTTCCTCCCAGCCAGGGTTTGGTGGTTATACAGTAGGCTTTAAGTTTTTATCTTATATAATATCACAGACTAAAGTTAGGAGAATATAATTTGCATTGCTGGAATCTTTGCAAGACAGTGAATAATTAGAATATAAACGTCATATATTTTGCACAACAGATAAAATTAATCACCTATATCACATTACAGTTGTGACCTTTTTTTTCTTTTTTTTTTCCCAAATGACACGCATTTTCTATACCGAAATGTTTCCAGTTAATGTAGTCTCCATGTATAATTAGAAAATTATGGGGGACCCATGTGCATTCAGCTGACTACATTAAAGGTAAGTGTTCAGTCACACTGTATCCATTCCTCATTACTTATTACTTTTACTGTACTGTATTTCATTGTAGATTTTTTTTTTTTTTATCTACAGTATGTCGGACTTACGACCATTCGGACTTACGACCTGGCTTTGGGTCCCTAACCCCGTCGTAAGTCGGGGTCTAGCTGTATATATATACCTTCAGTTGCCTCTGAAGATGTCTTGAATAAAGACGAAAGCCAAGGTGCTCCGTTGTTTCCCTTTTCCCGTGTGATTTTATCAAGGTTTATCTTATCCACGTTTTCATTGTGGATCTACATGATATATATATATATATATATATATATATATATATATATATATATATATATATATATATATATATATATATATATATATATATATATATATATATATATATATATATATATATATATATATATATATATATATATACACACACACACCTAGACCCCGACTTACGACTACGTGGACTTACGACCGTCGGGACTTACGACCGCCTCAGATATAGATAAAAAAAAAATTTTTTTAAATGACACACGCATTTTCTATACCGAAACGTTTCCAGTTAATGTAGTCTCCATGTATAATTAGAAAATTATGGGGGCCCCATGTGCATTCAGCTGACTACATTAAAGGTTAAGTGCTCAGTCACACTGTATCCATTCCTTATTATTTATTACTTTCACTGTACTGTATCCATTCATCATTATTCATTACTTTTACTGTACTGTATTTCATTGTAGATTTTTTTTTATCTATTTCGGACTTACGACCATGTCGGACTTACGACCTGGATTTGGGTCCCTAACCCCGTCGTAAGTCGGGGTCTAGGTGTATATATATATATATATATATATATATATATATATATATATATATATATATATATATATATATATATATATATATATATATATATATATATATATATATATATATATATATACAGTTGTACCCCACTTAACGCGGTCAATTGAACCCACAGGGTACCGCGTTAAGTGAAAACTGCGTTAAGTGAACAACAGAACATATGGGATTAATTCCAATAGAGACTGGCCCGACCCCCAAACTCCACTTTTTGACGACACACAACTATGTTAGTAAAAATATTGTCTTAACTTTATGATGGTATGCACAGACAATTAATAATTAAGAGAAATATCAATAATATTAGGTTTTTTAACACTTACATTAGTAGAAAAGATGGCTGGGCACACAGGGATGGGTGGTTGGTTCCGAGGCAGAGGGCAGATTATTGGCCCTCATCTGTATCACTTGTATCAATTGTATCACTATCCACCACAGAGGCTTGCAGGGCCTCTTTGTCAAACCCCTGAAAGTCCATATAAGTCCATATCCTCACTATAATTATCACTATCACTGACTTGGGCCGGCTGTGGTGGGTGGCGGGTGAAGAACTCTGTAATGTTTTGATGACTGGGCGACCTTGTGCGCATCGTGCCCGCGCCGCTTCCCGCGTATATGAGTAGATGAACCGCGTTAAGTGAAAGTTCGGTTCTGGCGAGGCACCGCGTATATGAGAAATCGCGTTAAGTGAAACCGCGTTACACGGGGTACAACTGTATATATATAGTGATTTAAGGGCAATTTAGGGGAATTTTAGGGGTTTTTCTGACTTTATGCTTTTTTTGGCTTTACTTTGTTGTACTTTTCTGTGAGCTGGAACCAATTACCCACTATCCCATTGAAATAATGGATTCGGTTAACAAAATTTTTGGTTAACGAACGACTCTATGGAACGAATTGTGTCCCTTTAACCGAGGGACCACTGTATAGTCAGTATACTACCAGTTTACAATTCCCTAGTCTTCTCACTTTATATTAATCACAATTCCACAATACTGTACTTGCACAACAATTGTCTTCAATTATTTGGCCAGGCTTAGTCTTTACACTAGGAACAGAGGCGAGCAACTAACTGAAGGCCGCTAACGGCCGCTTATGTATGGTTCGTCAGACGCCTAGAGCATTCTAGCGTTGTCCAGACGCGAGAGGTTGGCTCAAGACCCGCCTGGAGAATTCTAGAATGATCTCGGCTTTCAATACGAAATAAACCGGAAAAAGAATGATGCAATACATTCTAGAATATCCTTACATAATTAATACATCACTATATACGAGTACACGAAAATTTCACTAAATTTGCCAAAATAACTGCTGCATGGGACAGAAAACAATCAAAACACCTAGTTTACAAAATTATAATACAAAATTATGCCTCGGCATAATACTATATGTTACAGTATCCAGATAAATAAGCTCCAGCAAATGTCCATCTTCTACATTCTTTTAAAAGAAAGATATTTCAGCATGGGAGATGCAAAATACAGACCAAGAAAGATTCCTTCACATTACAACTGGGTGCCATCAGCTAGATGATTTCCTCGGTGGTGGAATTCCCGTCCGAGGCCTGACAGAAGTGACGGGGGAGAGTGGGAGTGGCAAGACCCAACTGGTGCTTCAGCTAGCACTATATGCACAACTCCCTCCAATTAGTGGTGGTCTTGGTAAAGGTAATACACCATTTTATTGTTTAGTATTTTCATTATACAGTACCATGACAGTATTTAATTGTTATTTTATTTGATACATGTAAAAAGAAAAAATTCCTCAGGGTTTTCAGAAGTACTGTATACTGTTGATTATTTTGTTAAAATAATATATACAGTACCAGTAAATGTGAGGAATAAATAACAAACCATAACAGCTCACAGTAGCCTGGTGATGAGTCTAACCTGGCTACAATGCCACAAGCGATGATAACAGACAAATGTGAAAAGTAAGTTATCTGTAAATCTTCATTTGTATCAGTATATATCTCCATTAGCCGGAACAATTGGTGCAGAGCACTTCCAGGTAATGAGACAACTGAAAACCGGAAAAATCCCTCATCCCGGAATTTTCCGGGTAACGGAAATATGTTCTTGGAAGTTCCGGGAATTATACGTTACATTATCTCTCGACCCAGAAAAATGTCCCCCATCCCCGCAATTTTCCAGGTACCGGAAAATTGTTCTCGAAATTTCTGGACAATGTGCCGGATTTTAATTTTTCAAACCTGGAAAAAAATTCCCTCATCACCAGAACTTTCCAGGTACTGGGGAAAATTTCCTCTGAATTTCCAGAAAATGTGCCCCTCAGAAAATCGTCTTTGGGAATGACTTTCCAAGAAAATTTCAATTCCGGCTATTGGAGAGTTCCGGTTGAGAGGGATTCCGGCTAACGGAGATGTTACTTTTATAGATTTAAAAATAAATGTTGCAGATATGGCATTAATAGATTGTAATGCTTGTAAGAATTCAGAAATGGTTTCTGTTTAGCTACCTCTGAAGAGTTGGGTGTCTACCGTACGGATGTTAATCATCTTGGGTAAGGAGGCGTATCATATGCACTATTTGAGACTGAATGTGAGACAGTGAGCTGAAGTTCTCGGGCCATTGCGAAAAGAAGGTAAATCAGGCAAATAAATTATTAGGTCTTATAAGAAGGTCATTCAGATATCTAGACGGTCCGTCCCTTGCAACGATCTTCAAGAGTGAAGTGCTTCCCCATCTGGAGTTATGTCACCCCATCTGGTCCCCGAAATATACTAGAGACTGTCAGTTGGTTGAAAATGTTCAAAGGAGGGCCACCAGACGTGCCTGCACTTCGGCACCTCAGCTACCATGAGAGATTGGAGCAATTAAACTTGCCTAGCTTATACTACAGACAGGCAAGGGGCGACCTAATTGAGGTATAAGCATCTCAATGGGCACTACTCAGTCGAGTGTCCTTACCTGGGGCTGGCGGACGATCACTCCACAAGGGGTCACAGCTCAAGGTTGAAGAAGCCTCAGGTCCAGAAAATTGTGAGGGCAAACTTTTTTGGAGTGAGTTGTGAACTCGTGGAACAATCTGCCAGATAGTATTGTGACGGCACTGAGTGTGAGCTGTTTCTAGACCAGACTTGACCAACACTGGAGCAGGTTCAGATACATTCAGGAGCTGGTGCATGCCCAGTACTCGCCAACAGTGAGTAACAGAGATGTGACCGATCGCCCAAGCGGCTAACGAGCCGATCAGTGGTGAAGAGGATAAAAGGAAGGAAAGGTTATCATCATCAGCACATTGGTTATAAATCGAGCTTTTATATTTACAATTAATAATTTTTTATGATTAAATATAATAATAGTAATGCATTTTGGCACTTGGGGGTCATAATTAGTGTTAATTAATGACCTTTGAAATAGATTACTGTAATTAAAGATATTTAGAATATTTTAAAAGGTAAAGTGCGCTGTGCTCGTAAGTTTAAAATAACCTTTATGTATTTTTTTTTTTTAAATTTAGACTATCTTTACTATATAAACATGTTAGTTTTCACGATCCCCCAAAATGCAGTTTGACATTAAAAATACGCCTGATCTTGCATTTCGGCACTTGGAGATACAGTATACCCTTAAAAGTATTTTCACCCAAGTATGACTATTCTCTCACACTTGAAATTTAATTAGGTTAACTAATTAAGTATGTCCAGAATAACACAAAAACACCAACCAAACACCTCGGAAACCCATAGTTGCCGAGTACAATAATCAGCATTGAGAAAAATTTCATCACAATTTCCAAACATTGAATTGTGGACCATAGATTCAGAATGAGCACACTCAGGAGTACCTATACTGATACTGTATTTTGAACTAAATCCCACAAGTGTCGGTTTTTTGTATTTCAAGTTGTATTTATTTTTGGCCATCTGTGAGATGGGAGTTAAGCTTCCTGGTTAGTTTTGTAGTCAGACTGGATGAGGCATCTGTGACTAGTTGGATGCATTCCTAGTTAACATGACTTCACATTTCATTTAGCAACTTGGACAAGCAGATTTGTACTATTTTATTATTTTTTATTCTCCTCTGTTAGATATTACTGTACTTCTATTTATAGCTTTCTTTTGGCTGTTTTATTTCAGGCGTGGCGTACATCTGCACCGAGTCACAATTCTCATCAAACCGACTCCAGCAGTTGATAAGCCACATACGTAACAAGTATCCAAAAGGTCCCAAGTCTTACACTGATAATATTTTCGTTCATCATGTTCCAGACATGGTAGTGTATTCTTTTCTGCATCAGTTGTTGAGATGGTTTTGTGGAAATTTTTTATTAACCCTTAAGCCCCGGGTTAGGGTGCTGCTTGCAGTACCCCCCACGCTGGGGTAAATCGAGAAAAATAAAAACTTTTCCAAAAATAATTTTCAGCCTTTTTAAATGATAAAACAATAAAAAAAATAAATACCTGTAAGTAAGAAAAACTATACAGTATATTGACCCTCTAGAAACTTCCCTGGCAGCGCTGAGGGAGGGAGGGGGGAGAGATGTAAGGGGACAGTGTTGTTTTGACAGCTGACGCACTTACCAGCTATTTTTAGCTTGCCTTTGTGTCAGAGATGGCCAATAATGCATATATTTACTGATATAATACTTATTTGCTATGAATAATTCATTTAGAATGTTTTATTTGCATTATTTTTCTAAAAATGTGCTTGGCAACACACACAATTGGTCGCCAGGCTGTCTGGCTGTCTTTGTGTTTAGTATAGCAAGTACTAATGAATAAAATAATACGGTAATAATTCTACAAATAAATACATTTACAACATAATCATAGCATTATTTTCCAGTAATACTACGTTACTTTTAGCACTATTACTTGGATACAACATGATAAAATGGACAAACAATGAAAATGAAACAAACAAAAGTAGGTAATTACGTTCAGGAAACTTCCCTGTGGCCAAGCGTGTGGCGAGACAGGCAAATAGTCACACTGGAACCTGATAACCCGCGCTGGGCATTTAAACACTGGCGGGAAATGGTGCGTGTCTTACGTCACCCAGGGCACGCTAGTCGGGCGTCATAGTACTGTACGTCACCCAGGGCACGCTAGTCGGGCGTCTTAGTTCGTCACCCAGGGCGTAAGGGTTAAAGCTACATTTTGTTCAGTGGATTGTATATTTTTTTTTTCTTCTTTTAAGGGGATTAGCCCACCTGGGCACAGGTCACTGAGCCACATCGGGACCTAGGGGGGGCGAAAATTTAATAATAGTAATTCATAGTAAATAAAATTTATAATAAAACGTAAAATAAAATAATAATAATAATAATAACAACATAACAACATAAGAACATAAGAATGGAGGAAACTGCAGCGGGCCTATTGGCCCATACTGGGCAGTCCCGTTTACACCCAACCCCTATTGCTCATATGAGCATCCAACCTATGTTTGCAAGCAATGATCAGCGTGTTTCCAAACTTGTTCATTCATCCACTACTCTGTTTCCAAACCAGTGTTTACCTATTTCACGCCCAAATCTAAATTTGTCTAATTTAAAACCATTGTTACGAGTTCGCTCCTGGTTGGATAGTTTGAGTACCTTTGTAATGTCCCCTTTGTTTAGCCCTGCCTTCCACTTATACACCTCTATCAGGTCACCTGTCTCTCACGCCTATTAGTCTTGTCATTCTCCTCTGAATTCTTTCCATTCTATATCCATTCTGTAATTCGGTGACCAGAACTGAACTGCGTAATCCAGGTGTGGTCTCACAAGAGCAAGATACAGTTTTAGGATGACCTCGCTAGTCTTGTAACTAACACTCCTTTGTATGAACCCAAGTACTTTATTAGCCTTGTTACGAGCAAAAACACATTGTTTACTTGGCTTAAGGTTCCTACTTATCATTACTCCTAAATCTCTCTCGCAGTCGGATTTCTCTATGGCATCGTTGTTCATCTGGTATCTGGTTTCCCTGTTTACATCTCCTATACTGAGTACTTTACATTTGTCCACGTTGAATTTCATCTGCCATTTTTCAGACCATTCGAAAAATTTGTTTAGATCTTCCTGTAGTTTTGCCGAGTCCTCGTCAGATTTATAACACGTCCTATTTTAGTGTCATCAGCAAATTTACTTATGTTGCTGTCATGCCGATATCTATGTCGTTTATGTATATAATAAATAATAATGGTCCAAGTACTGAGCCTTGGGGAACTCCACTTGTGACGTTGCTCCAATGGGACTTAGTGCCGTTAATGCTCACTCGCTGTTTCCTGTCCTGTAACCACGCCCTAATCCATTTAAGGATGTCACCTTTGATGCCATGTGCTTCTACCTTTCTAATTAGTCTTTCGTGGGGGACTCTGTCGAAGGCTTTGCTAAAGTCGAGATATACCACATCATAATTGTGCCCCTCGTCCACACTGGCTGTATGGCTGTGAATTAGCTGATTACCTTGACGTGTGCAGTTAAATGATGTTATCTTTAATAAAATATGGAGTAAACAGAGATAAGACTTCAGATCAAGTATCATGACTATAGTATTTCCACACTAACCTGGCCTGTAAGGTATGCCCCTCATCTATGGCTACAAATAGCTGATTGGTTCATAGAAAATGTTCATGTAGCTGTCCATTTATTCAAACTAAATGTTCACAATTGGTAAGCAGACCTGTTATTATCTAAAATAATGTTAAATAACTGGACTATCAAAATGCAAATGATTTCAAGGCATTAGCACTTCAGAGAGGATGTTAGAAATTTTTAAATATTTAGCATAAAAGGCCGAAGTCAAAGATGAAATTTGCTTTCGAATGAAGTCTTTTCATATTTCTTTGTTTTGTACCAAACATAAAGCGAACAGAAACAAATTATACAAAAAATACAGTGGCCCCTTCGGTTAACGAGCACAATCCGTTCCAGCAGGTTGCTCGTTAACCGAAACCTTTGTTTCAATGGGTAATTGGTTCCAGCTCACCGAAAATTGCCTAAATTTAACAATAAAGGTAGAAAAGTACACTTTCTTTGAGGTGTGTATGTAGAAGGCTCCTGGATGATGATGGTGATGGGAATTAGAATGGGGGTGGAGGAGAAGGGAGAAGAGAAGGCATTGGGGTGGAAGAGAAGTCACCCCATGGTGCCATTTCACCCATAAAATTTTAGTTCTCTTGGTGTAATTCAAGATTATTTTCTTTAAATCAGCACTGCACTGCATTATATATTGTCAATGTGTAAAATAAATTTCAAAATGACCAATAATTTGCTTGCAAACAAAGAAAAAAAGCATTTAGTTGAAGAGAGTCTCAAGCCAGATGTTACCTCCACTGAGAAGACAGAGAGACTAACGCCTGTTTGGTGTGTTGACATGCTGGATGGCGCGCATGAGACTAGTTTCCTTACCTTCAATTATGTTCAATAATTGTTAAAATGACTAAAAAATTTAATATTAAACTTTTAAAATTATTGAATAGTATAAACTCCTTGATATTTACTAAAACACTGTAGTAAGGAATTTAAGCTTTAAAACCGATTGTTGTATTGGCGGACTAATACTACAGCTGGTGGACTGCCAAATGCAAGCGAAAACATGTTGAGGTCGGCTCGTAAAAAACTCGTTAATCGAGGGATTGCTCGTTTACCAAAGTTAATAATCTTATGGAAGGTAACTCGTTAACCGAGGCGCTCGTTAACCAAGGGATAACTGTATAGCACAATAGGTAATGAACTACAGTTCTTATGGCTGTATATATCCCAAATCATTTTTATAACTAATAAAACTTGATTTAAATATGTGCTTGTATACGCGCAGTCCAAGAGAGGTAAAACACTTTGGGAAACAGCCACTGGACTTAGCGGGAATTTCGCTCATCTTCATGCATGGCACAATAGCCAGCAGACATCAACTCTCAACTGTCAACAGGTGTCAGCGCTGTGGTACTTACCCAACAAAAACATTTCTCACACCCACAAGCAGATTATTAAATACCTTATCCACTAACTTGGCATTCTCTTTCTTAAATACTGCGTTGTGACAAGATTTAAGTAATAATATATGCTATGTAATATTAAGAAGCATTGTATAGGTTTTAACATTTTCATCCTCTGTCATGAAGTATTAAGAAATTTGGTGCAAATGAATGAAAATCTCTGCCAATGAATCTGATGGACAAGGTATAGTTAATTTGTGTGTCATAGTATTCTAATGCGAACTCTACTGTACTGGCAGTAAGAGTCAAGTGTCCAACTGATCTGGCCGCGAAGTCTAGGGTCTGTTCCTATGATCGTTTTGCCTCCCCATGGACTGTGCATATATTTTTTATATAGTTTGTTTCTGTTTGCTTTATGTTTGGTACAAAACAAAGAAATATGAAAAGACTTCATTCAAAAGTGAATTTCATCTTTGACTTCAACCTTTTATGCTAAATATTTCAAATTTCTAACATACTCTCTGAAGTGCTAATACTACCTTGAAATCATTTGCACTTTGATAGTCCAGTTATTTAACATTATTTTAGAGAATGACAAGTCTGCTTACCAATTGTGAACATATTTAGTATGAATAAATGGACAGCTACACTAATATACAACATATATTATGAAATATGAAAAAGTTTCTTCACAAAATATACAATACTGTATATACTATGAAAACAATCAAATATATGAGGAAATTTTTTGGACAATGGAAAGTCAAGATAGCATGGTAAGTCATGTATAAATTCCTTAAGAGTGTAAAACTCAGGAACTGCAACAGTAAAAAAAAAAGTCTAAGGGCATTAATTATAATAATAATAATAATAATAATAATAATAATAATAATAATAATAATAATAATAATAATAATAATAATAATATATTGTACTGTAATAATAATAATAGTTTACGTATTAAGAAAAATATCATACAAATTTACAATTGGATTGGTATGTGTAGTATATATATATATATATATACTATGCAGTTTTATAGTTCAGCATGTATATTGACAGTACAGTGAGTTCTGCTATAACGCGTGTTTTGATAACGCGAATTTGCTCTAACGCGATTTATGAATTCGGAACAATATTTGTATAACGCGAACGCTTGTTTGCTATAACGCGATTTTTGCTTACTATTTCTCCAATTTTGTGGTATTAACTGTGAATATGGTAAAGAAGAATATCTCCAAAAGGCGTTCTGATGATAGAATTCCCGGTGATTATCGTAAAAGAAAGGATATAACACTTGAAGAGAAGCTCGATGTTATCAACCTCAAAATCACCCTTCTCCCCCATCAAGTTACATTCATATTTTTTCAAGGTAAAGTGTTAAATTTACTGTATGATTTCATTATTAGATATGAATGTAACATTTATTTAGACTGTGCTATCCTTTGTGTTAGGCTAACTACTAAATTTTTTTGATTTCGAGTAATCTGCACCTAACCCTATTTTCTCCATAAGCCCTGTTATTTCTATTACGCGATTTTCTATAACACGATATTTTACAAGAACACAATTATCGCGTTATAGCAGAACTACCTGTACAGGTATACGGTGTATATAGACCGTGGGAATATTGTATACATAGTTTCCCATGTAAAATCCCAAACATTATTTTTTTAAATTAAACTCATTCTCAGGAAAACTAAAGAGCTAGTACCGTAAACAAATTTTAATAAAAAAGTATCAAAGCAACGTAATTAAATGAGATCCAGTGATGAATAAGATAAAAGATTGATTTTGAAAGTGTATAATTGAGATGGGTATTAATATGTTAAGTGAGCAAACATGCACATTAACCCCATTGGTGAAAGAAGTTCCTCATGTGCCGTCTTACATTTACTAGGTAATGTGTACCAGTGGTGCTCAACCTTTTTGCATGAATGGGCCACATTTGATGGGGACCTGTGTGATGGGGGCTGCACATTGACCTTAAATTGAATAAGCGCAGTAAGTAATACAGTACGTATACCTGTACACATTAATAACATTGATTATTAAGTATTAACCATGTACAGTCGGTCCTCGTTAATTCGGACCCCTTTAATCCGGATTTCGGATAATTCGGATGAAATCTGAACTAAGCGAGGGACTGTCCGTATCAAATTTCTGGTTCTGGGATTGTCCGATAGATGGCGCGCGCGCCAGACCGCCAGTCGTTGTTGACTTAGCGCCATATTCGAGTATCTGTTGTGTTGCCCTGCAATTTTCGTTGATATTTCAGTGATTAGGGATCTTTCAGCCTTGTATTTTACATCATGTCTTCAAGGGGGAGTAATACGCTGAAGAGGAAATATGTGACCATTTCTGTGAACCAGAAACTGGAACTTATAAGGAAGTTAGAGGCTGGTGCTTCTGTGGCTAGAGTTTGTGACGAGTATGGTGTTAAAAAGCAAACAGTTTCGGACATATGCAAGGCTAAGGACAAACTCACTGCATTTTCTTTGAAATATAATGCAATGTTATGCAATATTAACCCCTAAATCGGTTAATTCGGACAATCGGCTAAAACGGACACCCTTCCCCCCCTATTAGTCCGTTTTAATGACTGTATTGTAAATTGAAAGAAGGAATCATAATCAGAAGACCTCTTAAAGAAATCACATACTTTATTACTAAAATAATAATAATTTTGTTCGAGTGAAAAAATCAAATAGATTACTTATGTGTCATCAACTCGACTAATCAGATGTGCAATACTCATCACTGTATCATAATACAGACGTATTTGTATATATTTATTTTCTATAAAATATGCATTAATATTATTTATATTTTTACTGTTTGCCAAGAGCCACATTAAACCTCCCTGAGGGCTGCATGCATCCTTCAGACAATGGGTTGAGCACCCCTGTGATATACCATACATAGTGTTGAAGAAATTGTCTTGCTGTGTTACAAAACACTTAATAATTTTTAATTGAGTGTTTCTTGAGAATGTAATTTTACTGCTTTCTTTATCTTAACCTCTTCACTAACGGGATGCCACTTTTAATATTTTATTTGACTAGTGTGAGACTATTTTATTCAAGACAGAGAAGGACCTTTACAAAAGGCGTTAAAGAACATTTCATTTGTGGATGATTTATGCCTATAATTCGTGTCTTTAAAGGATAACTTGGTAGATTGTGTGCGATACCAGCTTCCCCATCTTATTTCTTCACGGCATGTGGGTTTAGTGGTGATAGATTCTGTAGCTGCTCCATTCAGAGTTGAAGACAGAAGAGAAAGAAACACAACTTTACTACTCCAGACATTGGGCTATAGATTACACCAGCTGACGTCCTCACACAATATTGCTGTTGTGGCCATTAATCAGGTTTGTTGGCTTAAGCTTTCTCTTATCTACTGGGTTTTTCTTCTTGGTATTCATATCCAGAGCACCAGTGTATTTAGATTAGATTAAGATTTTATGTTTTTTATATTTTGTTTAATCTGTACTTTGCCTCTCTCATAAGAAATGTGATGGCCACTTGTACAGTCAAACCGCATTACAGGAAAACCTCGATAAACGATTTCTCGTCAAGCGATATTCCACTTAATGATGGTCATGAATTAAGACCATCTTCCTGTATATGATATATTTTTTTTTTTTACAATATCCATCAATATCCATTAGTTAGATTTTTTCTGCTCTCTTGTAAACTATGGGTTGTATATACTCAAATTAATCACTGTCTTATAAGGATTTTAGCAGTGCAAATTAAATTTTTCTATGTCAAGTCAGTGACATTTTATAAGGAAACAATATTTAACCCTATGCACTATGCCAGTGATTCTCAAACTGGGGTCAGCGAAAAGTTTTTTAGAACTAGTGCGTTTAACGTTTGAGAGAGATTTGGCAATTCCAATTCGCTGGATATTTTGGATTTGGGTTGAAATGAACAAATGATTTATACTATGATTTATTCTTTGATTATTGACAATATTTGTATGTGTCATGGTATATAAGGGGTCCTTGGTTGAGAAAAGTTTGAGAACCCCTGCACTATGCATCTCTTACCTTCACTTGTCAACCCTACCCGCACGCTACCACATGGCCAACCCGCACACTACAAGTCTATGCTTGGTTCTTTGTCGATCGTAAACCTGCCATCGCATTGCTCCACGATTGTCGATCAGCATCGTACATTGTATGTATCATCAGTTTTTTCTCTGTCTCTCTTTTTTCTTTTTTCTTTTCTTAATAGTGAGAGGACAGCATTAGCATTTTGATTGAACTGTGTTATGCTGTAAAGTGATATTTTCTGTTTTTGTGACTGCAAGGGGCTTCCTCTCTTGTTGTGAACATGATGCGAGTAGTGTCGGTCGCTATCATTGTTTGTATGTTATCATCATTCACTCTGTTTTTGTGACTAGTGATTTTGCGCAGTTTTTGTGACTGAAGTGAGCCGGGTAATTTTGAAACTGCCTGGGAAGGCCAAGGCATCCAAGACAACAATGTCTCTGAGGTGAAGCTTGACATTGAAGCAGCGTGAGGCTGTGTGGGAGTCAGAGGTACGTCTCCACTCCACCTTCCAAGACTATCCTTAGGTTTGTTTTCCTGATGTTGTGAGTGTTGTTTAATTGTTTTCTATTGATTTTATAAATGTAGGATTATTTTTTATTTTTTCAGTGGTACAGTCGGCCACATGAATAAGTACAGTATACACCTACAGTTTGTGTTTGAGACAAAATATCTGGTAACACTGTCTTGAACAGAACAGATAAAATTACAAAATTACCTGTAATTTATGTTTTATTCCTACATATATGTTATAAATACATTTGTTGTGAATGTTTTACTCGTGCCTTGTGTTTATATTACAAGTAATATATTGTATCCATTGGTAGTAAACTTGTTGCCGAATGGGATTGCAGTTATCGTACAGCTCCCTCCTCCTCCCCCACTTTTTCTCTTCCCCTACTTTGTTTTTTACTGATGTTTGGTTTAGTAAAGGAAGGAAGAGGAGTAAATTGAAGAATAAAGAAGGGGCAACAGAAAATAGTTAGAGATAACAGGTGGGGGGAACTGAGTTTCATCATGCGTCTGGAGGCGCAGTTTCAACGTTACCAGACCATTTTCGGACCTTATAGCTACAGTGTGTATATTTATTCCTGTGGCCGACTGTACGTGTGTGTTTGGGGACTGGCTGGGGTCGCATCCCATTGAACCCCATGTTATAATGCTCCCTTTCTACGATATTTCACTTAGCGATTGGTTTTCAGGAACCAAACCCCATCGTTTATCGAGGTTCACCTGTACAGTATTTGTACCTCTGACCATCTTTTATCCCTACTTCTTTCATTCAGCCTCAGATGAGTCCAGTCTCCTTTCACTCCTTTTTGTTCCTCATACATTCAAGGCCTCCTCTCCTTTGTAACACCAGTGACACTAGCCTTTTTTTTTTCAACTGTAGAAATAAGTCTGACTGTGTGTGTTTTAATGCATGAGAACAAAACTAGTATGTACAGTAGTGATTCTCCACCAGTTATTTCCATTGTTTCTTCAGTGTTCTACATTAATGGTGTGGAGATGGCCAATGGTAGAAATATTTAGGGGAGATTCTCCATGTGACTGTGCCCCAAGGCTTAAAAGTAAAAAGGCAACAAAGTTTCTGATAGAATAATTGATATGATTATCCTTTTAGACAGAAGATGGTTGTGGCTCTGTGATACACCAAGTCACTTCAGATTTCAAATGACTGTTTTTCAATTGAGACAATATTTTTATTATGGATCATTTATATTGTCATGTACAGTACGTACTTCAAAGTGAAGATCCAATCATTGAATGAAATGTGAATACCTAAGTTTTATTTTCTTTTTAGGTAACTGCTGCCATGGGGAAGCAGAGTCTGTATGGTCTTGAGGGAAATACGGCTCCAGCTCTAGGCTTGTCTTGGGCCAATTTAGTGACAACACGGCTGATGCTCACTCGGACGCACTCTTTTGTCAGGACTCATAAATTATTACCCCAAACCACTGTTGAATTTAATATACGAAAACTAGAAGTGGTATTCTGCCCCTGGCTGAGGAGAAAATCTTTTTCATTTATTGTGACTGAAAAAGGAATTGAGGATATTGCAATGAGTACAGTGTAACTGTAGAAAATTTCCATTGATCCCGTATCCGAAATGTTTGGAGCCGAAAGGGTCTTGGATTGGATTTTGAATATTTTGGGGTTTTGGAATACTGTACCTACAGTATATCCTGTATATAGTACAGTACCTGTATAATGCGGTAGCTCACCCAGCTGGGATGGGGCCAAGTCTATGCACGAAATTAATTTATATTTCATTTACAGCGTATGGATTCATATAGCCTGCAGGTAGTTTTATAAAATGCTTTTAATCATTTGGTGTATGAAATACTTGATAAGATGCACACTGAAGACTCAGAAAGGTAAGCAATCACTACCGTCTGTTTGGCATTGCTGTGACACCTGACTGTTAGGTGCTAAGCGGCCTGTATCTTACCTTTGTTCATTACACATACCGGTACATACTTACTCAAAATCTATTTCTGTAATGCCCTATAAATGATCAAATTACTCTGAAATATTGTTAAATATCTGAAATGGTATAAACTTTTTCACTGTGTTCTTTGCCAATAATCCATTAATAATTTTATATAAGGTCACTCTCAACAGCTCCCCAGGACATGCCAGATATTTCCACAATCTCCAAATCATCAGAGAAAAGCACTGTAATGACAACTCAAATGCTTTCTAGCTGATTCTTCAGGATAATAACCTGATCAATTTTTTTTTACCATATACCCTGTAGTATTACAGGGGATTCCTGGGTTACTAACGGGTTCTGTTCCTGAGGATGTTCTTAGGTCAGAACACATGCTATGTGCGTACAGAACAATTTTAAAATCCCACTATATCATAGCCTAAGTCCTTTTATGCATCTAAAACCACTCAATTTAAAACAAAAGATGAAATAGAATGACAAAATACAGCAAATGAAAGTAAAAAATAAGTCATCAGGTAAATAAAATACTGTAAATTTCAAGTTTAACCTCGTTCGTTTCGGCGGATGTTCATAAGTCGGGGACCCCCTGTACTATATTGATGTTTTGCATATACAAATAACTATTACTATAACTGCCTAAATACTGTACGTGGAAAAATAAGCCAACCAACTATGTGGTTCCGAAAAGTCGATTATTATTATAGGAAAATATTATGAAATAGATTAAGATGAATAAATTAATGGAATAGAATGTGAATTATAATAAGATGCTGTATAAAACTATGTTTGGGTGCATAGTCGAGGAGAGGAGGTGGCGGAGTAGGAGAGAATAACTAACCTCCCACACTCGTCACCCCGCAATCCCTTTCTAACTACAGTATGCAGTTTCACCATAATTCCCATGTTATTTAGGTTCATTTGGTGCCGGGTTAATAAAACATCAAGAATTAATTAATTTTTCCAAAAATTTCTCTCTCAATGCTAGATTAGCTATTATGTGTTTAGTATATTCCCGGGCCCAGCACGAACAGCTTATCGGTCTGCTCTCCCTGACAATATTGCCAGTGCTCACCATCTCAAGCACTGGATTTTTCGGTAATTCGTGTGACCCAGAGCTCCTTTTTTGTTGAATTAATGAGGGTATAGTGTACTTAAAAGTATTATAAATACCAGTCTGAGGACATTCCTTAAAAGGGAGAGCACATCCTAGTAATGTAATACAAGTAAACATACTTTTCCGTATTAATGGGAGACTTACCTAGGTTGTATAGAAGTGGAGTTGTTATAATAAATTAAGAAACGGCCAGTCAGTCCAATATCAAATTACTTTAACATTCACTTTCGTACTACTACAGAGTAATTACCCTAAAATATGAGTAAAATATTCCAAGAAATCGTTGAATACTTTAGATTTTGCAAAATTTTTGCTTATCCGGTACCCCAAATTTCACCCTAAAGAAGATCTGATTATCCAAAAATGGGGTATCGCTCCAAAAACTTTTGGATTTAGGAATTCTAGATAAGTGATGCCCAACCTGTATTCCTCTTTTGTAAGGGAGTTACATAGCCTTTTAGGAAGTTATAGTTACAGAATATACTGTATGTGTTATAAGGAAAATATTTTTTATTCCATTCATAGGAATGTAGTCATACAGACTTACTCTAATGTTTTATTGCAGTATTCTTTTCATATGGAGTATAGTTAAGGACCCTACTGGAAATGGCTTTGTCAGCTGGTCTTGGCAAACTCCCTTACTGTTTGCTGATGTTGTTTGCCTGCTGTGTCTAAGATACATTTGGAAACTGTATGTGTGCATGGTCTGTGTACACCATATACAGTAACTTTGTTGTCTATGCACATGCTGAGCTCTGTAATATACAGTACAGTAACTGTGCTTTTCCTTTTCCTTTTATTCTCTTCGCAACTGATCGGCTCGTTAGCCGTTTGGGTGGTTGGTCACTTTTCTGTTTATAGACAGTAAACACTAAGCCAATTGTAAACTTGTATTACAATTTTATTGAATAAATATTTATTTTTATTACTGTATTATTATTATTATTACTTAAAACATTATAGAAATATTACAGACTCTCAATTTTTTTTAATGTGCCTCTAACAACAGTGCTCTTGGGATAGCTTCTTCTCCATGTACAGTATTGGAGCTCTTGGGACTAGTTATACATCTTTCCTTTCATATCCCATATATTGTAAGTCTTGGTGAAGCTGAAACCGTTTTATGATGTTAAAGTTTAAGTCGCTCCTTATTGGTATATCAGGAATTTGTGTCCCCTCCCAATTCAATTTTATCCCGACCCTTTTCAGTACTGTAGTTTTCTGTTCTTTCCCTCAGTTGTATAATCATCATATTTGGATCATTTAAGCCCTAACTGAGTCCCTAAGTCCCTAGTTTTAGGTTGTTTAAGATATTATTAGTTTTGTAGTACTTTACTTGGGTTTCTTGGTTATGTACACTACAGTACACATCCATTCTCTAGTTGTACTTCGTCATCCTGCTCTAATGTGGGAGTTTATTTGCCTTGCATGGAGAGTTCAATGTGGCACTCTTACCTTCTGTCTTCATTTCTTTATATCCTGATCTACTCGGTTCGTTCTGGTACAGGAGAAATTGAGGACAGCTTCACCATGACCCATCACTAGAATATGTATGGTGTCTTCAGTTATGGAGCTTAGGATACTAATGGGTGTTTACATTACTGGTAGTTATATAGAATATAACTGATGAACTTGATTGTGGTGTAGATGAATTGTTTATACAGTACTGTACAGTGTTACTGGTATTTGTGAAAGCTTTAGATGGTGCCTCATTTGCATGTTCTTTTAGTATTAACATTATGTGTTTTGTAAAGTGTGTGTGTGTGTATGTATAGTATAGTGTGATGCCAAGGAAGTTATGGGTGAAATAATATGAAGTATAGTTGAAATTGGGACTTGGTTTTCTCTTAGGTGAAGAGCTTCATGGTAGATGTTAATGATAATACACTATACTGTCATGCAGCTTTGAGTCACTATTCTGGTCCATCTATGTACTGTTGAGATGAGTTAGTTGCCTGTGCAGTTTTAGTATTTTGAGAGACTATTGCAAGGACAACTTGAATTATAGCATTATGGAAGAAAGTCTTTAATACTTCAATTATACAACATTCCAAACCCCAAATAATTCTGCCACCTGCAGACTTACAGTATATCCCCCTTTTTTACGTAATCCAAATTCCATGAATCACACTCAAAAACATTAACCCATACTCTCCTTAAGCTCCCTCCCATCTTGCCTTCTGCACCCATATTCTACCTCAACTCATCCAATATGATTTTAGTAAAGTACAACCCTCACATAGTACAGTTCTTGCTGCGTTGGATGTCACTATCATTGATGCTGTACCACACTACATACTAACAAAATAATTAATGCAACAATGCCCAATAGCAACAAAATATGATTAGTCAAATAGTCCAGGGCCAGCTCGAGGCATAAGCAGGCTAGGCAGCCGCCTAGGGAACCCAGCCCATAAGGGGGCCCCTGATTCTTCCTTCAGGAATTAGTTAAAAATCTCTGAGGCTGTGCATTATCAAACTAAAGAAGTAAGGGAGGCCCTGCTGGATATGAGGAGCAAAGTCACAGACCCTGTGACAAGGATAGAGGCACAGTCACTGGCGGAGGAAGCTGGATCTTACCATTTTTTATATGCACCGTGGTATGGTATGATATTCTGCAACAAGTGAACAAACTCTTGCAGTCTTCTACCATGTAGCTTGATGTGGTTATGAGTTTACTGAAGAACACTAAAGCCTCCCTGGTGAGCTACCGTGAGAATGTATTTGTCTTGGCACAAGCAACAGCTAAGGACATGTGCGAGGAAATGAATGTGGAGGCTGCGTTAAAGAAAAAGAGACTTCAAATGGTGAAAAGATACTTTGTATATGAAGCTCCAGATGAGCCAATTTCTGATGCTTTGAGAAGATTAGAAGTGTCTTTTTCCGATACAGTGGTAGACTCTGATATCACATCACTCAATGAAAGGTTTCAGAGCCTGGGAGAAGTTAGAGACAAATTTGGAGTTCTCTTTCACTTCAAAGAGCTGTCCATTGATTCACTCACAACACAATGTCAGGAGCTGAGTGACACCCGGAGCTATGGTGGAGAGTCGGATATTGATGGAAAAGAACTGGCCTTTGAGATGAGAAATCTACCAGACTTACCCTCTGATAATATGACAGCATTGGAACTTCTTAAATACAGGTATATACATGAAAAGCAGATTAAGGAGCTTTATCCAAACATGTGGACAGCCCTGAGGATAGCAGTCACTTTGCCTGTAACTGTAGCTTCAGCAGAGAGGAGCTTCTCAAAGCTTAAGCTTCTCATAACATACCAAAGGTCTACAATGGCTCAGGGTAGGCTTACTGGGCTTGCTGCCAGGAAGCAAAAATTCTAGATCATTGGTTTTAGAAATATTAATATGTAAATTACTGACGTACATAATAAAAAATTGCAGCAACAACAAATGGTTCGTACTGATTTGCTTTCCTTTTGAGGAGGGGGGGGGGAGCAGGATGGGGACGCTTTTCCGTGAGATAAGAGGAGGGGGCACAAATCATGTCTTGCCTAGGGCTTCTAAAAGCCTAGAGTCGGCTCTGCGATATTAAGTGACCAAGCCGCCAGTTACATATCAGAAATAAATTCAGATGCAGAAACCCTGCTGAACAGAGATTCCTGGGAGGTTAATAGAAGACCCCAAGGCTAACTCTACAACAATGAATTTGTCCTTTGATCTTAAAATCAATAGAGAATAACCTTTCACAGGGAATAAGATACCTATACAATATCATGTTAGCAGTGTATGAAAACTCATGTTACCGTGTGGAAACCAAAATTCTTCTTATAGCAACAATGACTTCAGACCCAGTGACTTCTGAAATAGATTAGGTGCTGTAAGATGTGTCTGTAAACTATCTTATTTCAATTTAAAGGTAAACTACCCTAACAATACCTGGGAGTTAAGGGTAGCATTAGAGTGGTTAATTTTCATGTGAAATAAGCTAGAATAGGTTAGTATTAGCATGGTTAATCTTCAGGTGAAATAAGTTAGCATTAGGATGCTTAATCTTAATATGAAATAAGCTAGGTTCAACAGTAGGGTGGTTAATCTCCAGGTGAAATAAGCTATGATAGATTAACATTAGGGTGGTTAATCTTAATGTGAAATAAGCTAGGTTATGTTAAGTTAGCATTAGGGTGGTTAATCTTCAGTTGATTTAAGCTGGAGGGAGACAATTCTTTATGTGATCACTGTAAAGTCCAACAACAACTAAAAGTGGATTTACACGGGGTGACAACAACAACTTGGACTCCATCTGGTTATGAAGTTAAAAGTAAGATAAGAAGAAGATGCTGATCTCTTAAGACTCGCAAGAATATTTTACTCATGGAAATAGAAAAGAGAATGATTATATTTTTTGAGATATATACCACACACAAATCTGGCACGATATTTAGGGGTCCAGGAAGGAGTTGTGGGGTAATGGGTGTTTGTTCTCTCTCAGGATGGGATGGAGAAAGGAAACTCACAATGTGCTCTCTGCATACATGTTGTATTGGATGTACAATGCAGCTTGGTGCTGGGAAGTGACAGTGTGGTTACAAGTGTGATGTGGAGAGAGCTGGTTGGTGAGGATGCTCAGAGGAGGACAGCTTGTGGGTCGCCATGCTCGCCGGCGGGAGCGAGGGCCGCCAGGCAGCGGCGGAGGAGGAGGAGGAGGTGTTGCTTGCTGGTTGGTGTAGGTAGAAAAGAGGCAGGTCACCACAAGGTCATGTCTTTTATAGCGGAGGTAGGCATAGGTAGATAGTTGACCTCCGCTCCGTGGGCGGCGCTGGTTGACCTAGACCACGAGGCATACACTGGGGAATTCGCGGGGTCGGCTACTCAGCGACAAACAGCGTTTGTAGGGGAGAAATCCACTACAATACTCCCTCCTTCCCTCCAGGCGGTACAGAGTCGTCAGATGCACCTGCTGGGGTGTGTGGGCTTGTGTCAGGAGCAGGGGCTGCTTCAGCAGAAGCGGATGAGGGCTCGTGACAGCAGCTGGGTCCACGACAGCAGCAGGGTGCAGGACAGTAGCAGGGGGTACCTGAGGGAGAAAAGAGGGGTGTATGGGTCCGCACTCAGGCGCATGGGGCGCGTCGGGAGCAGGGGCAGCGTCAGGAGGAGCGGCAGGGGGTACTGCTGGGCCGGGGGCGGCGTCTGAGGCAGGACGGGTGTGCTGGGCACGGTAGGATGTGGTGCTTGGGGCAGGAAGAGGAGCTGGTGTCTGCTGAGAGAAACAGTGTTGCTCTAGGGTGTCTAACCTGCGGTTTAGAGACAGTAGCTGTAGAGCCGATGAGAGCTGCTTCTGGGTGGATAAGCCAGTCTTCCATGTTGCTTGAAGACTGGGAGCGTGATCTGTTTCTCCTCTATCCTGTGTGAGTGCGAACCTCCGGGGGTCACCATTTGTGGGGTAATGGGTGTTTGTTCTCTCTCAGGATGGGATGGAGAAAGGAAACTCACAATGTGCTCTCTGTATACATGTTGTATTGGATGTACAATGCAGCTTGGTGCTGGGAAGTGTGGTTACAAGCGTGATGTAGGAGAGCTGGTTGGTGAGGGTGCTCAGAGGAGGATTGTGGGTCGCCATGCTCGCCGGCGGGAGCGAGGGCCGCCAGGCAGCGGCGGAGGAGGAGGAGGAGGTGTTGCTTGCTGGTTGGTGTAGGTAGAAAAGAGGCAGGTCACCACAAGGTCAGGTCTTTTATAGCGGAGGTAGGCATAGGTAGATAGTTGACCTCCGCTCCGTGGGCGGCGCTGGTTGACCTAGACCACGAGGCATACACTGGGGAATTCGCGGGGTCGGCTACTCAGCGACAAACAGCGTTTGTAGGGGAGAAATCCACTACAATACTCCCTCCTTCCCTCCAGGCGGTACAGAGTCGTCAGATGCACCTGCTGGGGTGTGTGGGCCTGTGTCAGGAGCAGGGGCTGCTTCAGCAGAAGCGGATGAGGGCTCGTGACAGCAGCTGGGTCCACGACAGCAGCAGGGTGCAGGACAGTAGCAGGGGGTACCTGAGGGAGAAAAGAGGGGTGTATGGGTCCGCACTCAGGCGCATGGGGCGCGTCGGGAGCAGGGGCAGCGTCAGGAGGAGCGGCAGGGGGTACTGCTGGGCCGGGGGCGGCGTCTGAGGCAGGACGGGTGTGCTGGGCACGGTAGGATGTGGTGCTTGGGGCAGGAAGAGGAGCTGGTGTCTGCTGAGAGAAGCAGTGTTGCTCTAGGGTGTCTAACCTGCGGTTTAGAGACAGTAGCTGTAGAGCCGATGAGAGCTGCTTCTGGGTGGATAAGCCAGTCTTCCATGTTGCTTGAAGACTGGGAGCGTGATCTGTTTCTCCTCCATCCTGTGTGAGTGCGAATCTCCGGGGGTCACCATTTGTGGGGTATGGGTGTTTGTTCTCTCAGGATGGGATGGAGAAAGGAAACTCACAATGTGCTCTCTGTATACATGTTGTATTGGATGTACAATGCAGCTTGGTGCTGGGAAGTGGCAGCGTGGTTACAAGCGTGATGTAGAGAGAGCTGGTTGGTGAGGATGCTCAGAGGAGGACAGCTTGTGGGTCGCCATGCTCGCCGGCGGGAGCGAGGGCTGCCAGGCAGCGGCGGAGGAGGAGGAGGTGTTGCTTGCTGGTTGGTGTAGGTAGAAAAGAGGCAGGTCACCACGAGGTCAGGTCTTTTATAGCGGAGGTAGGCGTGGGTAGATAGTTGACCTCCGCTCCGTGGGTGGCGCTGGTTGACCTAGACCACGAGGCATACACTGGGGAATTCGCGGGGTCGGCTACTCAGCGACAAACATCGTTTGTAGGGGAGAAATCCACTACAGAGTAATGTGAATGAATGATGATGGGAAAGTTACCGGGGTATTTAATTTGTGTGTGTGTGTGATCTTTAGTGCTTGATGTGTGACTGATAGGTGGTGTACTGTAATGAGTCTAGTGACAGGAAAACCAGGTAAATGGTTGGTACTTTCTTGAACATAAGAACATAAGAAAATAAGGAGTCTGCAATAGGCCGGTTGGCCTGTGCATGGCAGCTCCTGTCGAGAGTTACTACCACTCTATCATCCATGAATCTATCTAGCCTCCTTTTGAAACTTTCCAGAGTTCCCGCACTTACTACAAAGTTGCTAAGCTTGTTCCACTCGTCCACCACTCTATTTGTGAACCAGTTTCTTCCTATCTCCCTCCTAAACCTAAACTTATCCAACTTGAATCCGTTGCTCCGAGTCCTATCCTGCTCGGATATTATAAGAACTTTATCTATATCCCCTTTATTGATTCCTTTCACCCACTTAAATACTTCTATCATATCTCCCTGCACTCTTCGTCTTTCTAGGGAATGCAAGTTAAGTTTCTTTAACCTATCCTGATATGGAAGGTTTCTAAGTCCCGGAATCATTTTTGTCATTCTTCGCTGCACCGACTCTAGTGAATTTATATCCATTCTATAATAGGGGCACCAGAACTGAACTGCATAATCGAGGTGCGGCCTGACTAGCGCAAGATATAGTTGCAATAAGACCTCTGCATTCTTGTTACTTACACTTCTAGATATAAAACCCAATACTCTGTTTGCCTTATTTCGAACATTAACGCACTATTTTCTAGGCCGTAGGTCCGGGCTTACAAGTACCCCTAGGTCTCTTTCATAAGTCGACTTCTCTAGGTTGATGTTGTTAAGGCTGTATACATTATAAGTATTTGTTCTTCCAATATTAAGTACGCTGCACTTGCTGGTGTTGAATTTCATTTGCCATTTTTCAGACCACCCCTGCAGTTTATTTAGATCCTCTTGTAATGCATTTGCATCCTGCCCTGAATTAATTTGCCGCCCTATTTTGGTGTCATCCGCAAACTTGCTTATGTCACTGCTGATCCCAGTATCTAGATCGTTTATGTAGATTATGAACAAGAGTGGGCCTAGTACTGACCCCTGGGGAACCCCACTGGTTACACGGCCCCACTCAGATTTACCACCATCTACGCTGACCCTCTGCGTTCTATCGGTGAGCCATGATTTTATCCAATTTAAAACTTTCCCCTCGATACCATGAGCCTTAATTTTTCTCAGAAGCCTCTGATGAGGTACTCTGTCAAATGCTTTGCTAAAGTCTAAGTAAATAACATCGTAATTTTCGTCATTATCTACTACCTCGAAGACTTTCCTAAAAAACGTAAGCAGATTTGTTAGACAAGATTTTCCCTTTGTAAACCCATGTTGAGAGTCGTAGATTAATTTGCTTTTCTCTAGATGCGATCGGATGCTATCTGCTATAATTGATTCAAGAAATTTCCCCACTACTGACGTCAAACTGATCGGCCGGTAATTTGAGTACTGTACCGTATAATACGTCTGATGC